CCCATCAAAAAAGACCGCAGGCCATTCGGTCCAGCGGTTGCTGAGATATAAGCCTCTCAAAAGCGTTACAGGCCGGGCCGGGCCGGGCCGGGCCGGGCCGCTCATACTGAGATTTTTCCGTTATATTGAAAAGACTTCGCTTCGCTCGCTGCGCTCGCTCGCTCGTAATAAAGTAAGTACTAACACCAGTAAAACGCCTTTTGGGCGAAGAACGAGCGAGCGAGATAGTGAGCCCCATGCACGTGCGGAAGGGCGAGAGGGTACTTCCAACGGGCTTGTGCAAAACTCCCTTCTAACCGGTCGCTAGCGGTGTGCCAAATTTGAACGCAATCGGCCCAGCCGTTATTGAGATCTGGAAGCGGCATTCTGCACGTGCGCACGTGCAAACGGGGTCCAAACTGACTTTTGCACGGCACCCTACTAACTGGTCCCCAACCGTGTACCAAATTTGAGCGCAATCGGCCCAGCCGTTCTCGAGATCTGGAAGCGCCCCCTGCACGTGCGCACGTGCAGTAGCACCTTAACCGCAACACATGGGAATGCATTGTCTGGTGGGTGCCTACCTGTATGCCAAGTTTCAGCGAAATCGCCCCAGTAATTACCGAGTTATCAAAATGGGAACAAATTTGACACCTCTTATTGTTGTATTTTGCACGTGCACTGGGGGTGACCCACATGCATCGAGAGTATCCTATTTTTGGTAGAAGGGATGCTGCTACCCTACAAAAATTACCGCAAGCCAATCGCCCAAGCGGCTGCTGAGATATGAGCCTCTCAAAATCACTACTTTTGCAAAACAGCTTGAACACCCTTGACTTTTCACGTGGCACGTGCCACGACGGTCACTGAGATGTATCAAAAGTAGTCAATTACGGGGTAGAAGGGATGGGGGCTACCCAACAAAAAAGACCGCAGGCCAATCGGTCCAGCGGTTGCTGAGATATAAGCCTCTCAAAAGCGTTACAGGCCGGGCCGGGCCGCTCATATTGAGATTTTTCCGTTATATTGAAAAGACTCACTTCGCTCGCTGCGCTCGCTCGCTCGTAATCACTGCAGAGGTACCTCGCCCGTATTGGTGTTTTTCCAGCCGCGAACATATAAGGGGGGGGGGGGTCCGTTGGACCCCCCACCCCCCTTGCCGTTTCGCCCCTGATCGAGCTAGAGCTTCGCGGAAAAAACGAGCGTGTTGCTCGTGACGAGAGGAAGCCGATGATACCTAATTTTAAGGTCCTAGGTCATTGGTTGACCTTGCAGGTCAGGTCAATGACCCAAAAGTCGGAAAATCGGGACCAGTTAGAACGTCGTAAAGTGTGGCTGCTATGGGGTTTTTCGGGGCGCTGATCACGAATATCATGTTAGTTTTGATCACAGATGATGTCTTCATGCATTTAGTCCAGGTCGGGTCAGGTCAGGTCAGGTCAACCAGTAGGGGTCCTGCCGGGTACCTATTCCTAGTAGGTGTCAACCGCCTCTGACAGCTTCGTAACATGTTACGAAGGCCCCAAAACTCACCTTTTTAGGCGCAATTTCAAAAATTTAAAGACCACATTCAAAAAGTTTACATTCAAAATGCACGTGAACGTTTTGAATTTGGTCTTTAACTTTTTGAAATTGCGCCTAAAATGCTGTAGTTCGTAAATGTTCATATGGTTGCTAAATTCGAATTCAGCTCAAAAAACTGGCCTAGAAACATGTAAAACTCGAAAAAGTGAACCGAGGTCACCAAAGGTCAATGACCTGACCTGACCTTTAGGTGACCTTGACATCCACCCTAATGCATGGGGGCAACATGATATCACATGTTTGAAGATTGTTGGCCAGAGGCCAACAATCTGAATGCATTTCCCCAGTCCGGTTTAACCCTCGCCCGTATTTGTGTTTTTCCAGCCGCGAACGTATCAGGGGGGGGGGGTCCGTTGGACCCCCCCTTGCCGTTTCGCCCCTGATCAAGCTAGAGCTTCGCGGAAAAAACGAGCGTGTTGCCCGTGACGAGAGGAGGCCGATGATATCTAATTTTAAGGTCCCAGGTCATCGGTTGACCTTGCAGGTCAGGTCAATGACCCAAAAGTCGGGAAAATCGGGACCTGTTAGAACGTCGTAAAGTGCGGCTGCTGTGGGGTATTTCGGGGTGCTGATCACGAATATCATGTTAGTTTTGATCACAGATGATGTCCTTCGTGCATTTAGTCCAGGTCGGGTCAGGTCAGGTCAGGTCAATCAGAAGGGGTCCTGCCGGGTATTCCTAGTAGGTGCCAACCGCCTCCGACAGCTTCGTAACATAACACGAAGGCATCAAAATTACTTCGTAAATGTTCATATGGTTGCTAAATTCGAATTCAGCTCCAAAAACTGGCCTAGAAACATGTAAAACTCGAAAAAGTGAACCGAGGTCATCAAAGGTCAATGACCTGACATGACCTTCAGGTGACCTTGACACTCACCCTAATGCATGGGGGCAACATCATATCACATGTTTGAACGCTTGAAACCACGAAAAGACTGCAAACGCGCGGCTAATGCGAACCGACATACGCCGAATCGCGATTCCGGCCAAACATGGTCTCGAAAAGTAGGTCACAGGTCAAAGGTCATTGGGGTCAGGGTCATGAAATTTTCAGGGTACGTGTAAAATTGATTAACGCGAGGGTACTGAAAGTTTCGTCGCGATCGGCCGCTTTTAACGCGAGTTATTCGCGAAAAACCATGGGGGGGGGGTCCGTTCGACCCCCCCCCCCCCCTATACGGGCGAGGGTTAAAACGAAGACGGCGGAGAACAAAGCCAGACCGACAGGGTACGCGACTACTGAACTTTGACCCCGCCCGTGCGCCGGAGACGCCCGGTGTCGTCGCGCGGTTGTTCAAAGGATGCGCCGAGCACCAGATGGACAGTCAGATGCTGTTTGATATGTGTGGGGGGGGAGGGGTGGGGGGCGAAGAAAGATATATGTACCTGCCGCAGCTGCGAGTCTTTTCCATGAGCCGGGTCAGACTGTCGGCGCTAAGCCTTTGGTGGTGTTCATGGGGGACGGTGGAGCGGGGTGAGGAGAGGCGTGGTGATACGATACGGAATGCTGAATTTATTTTCTTGTCCCTTTGCACACAGTAGGCGAGGGATGTTTGATGTTTCACGCAGGCATGGTTGGTCAATAGATCATAACAGGAAGTGCAACGATAACCGGTTGGTAGGACTCATTCTGGTATGGTTGAGATAATTGTGTTATGTGTGATTGACGAGGTGATTGGTTGTTTCCAAGGTGAAGTAAAATAACACCTTCTGAATTCTGATGAAATGGGTTCATGTTTTGGGCAAAGTTTTGGCACACAGTGACAACAGCACAGACGTGCTTCATTGAAAGAGAATCGGGGTTTGCCTGGAGTCCAACAACAATTGGCGTTTGCTTGGTCGATTGTCGTCCACCATGTGCGGACAGGAGCGGCCCGTGTACTGTAATAAAAAAACGAAACCAGCCCACTGATGTTATCTTTTAGAACAAGTAGTACTTACTCAATAAAGCTTATCAATTTTTCACATCAGAATTCAAAACGAGAAACAGCGAGACGGCCTTAGGTACGTACTGTGACGCTAAACAAACAATGGCCTGCTTTTCTCCCCCTGAGAATGTCCCAAAGCCACAAAGCTGTATGACGATTCATTTGATGCTCAAGAAGCGTTCCTGAAAAAAATGAATCATCTGAGTGCCTCCGGTTACCCGCCGAAATTGAATGAACAGTGCCGAATTTGGTTGTTACTGTTGCTAAATCGTGTGCGTTACCTCTAAACCTGTGCTGGCGCCGCCAATTCTACTTGCGCATCACCGAAAATGGAGCATATTGCCGCTGTGCCGAAATTGAATGCTTTACCGCCGACTGCCTAACCTGCGCCGAGATATTATGCGATTCGTGCACATAATATTGCGGTATGTCTACACACATTTCTTAGTTCTAAAATGGACGATTTCACACCGAATTTAACTGACAAAAGGTGTAGATGCTCCACTCGACAGTCTCTCAAGAATACATCTCACTAGCTATTCCAACCTTTGCGCCCGTGATGACTCGTCCGTGAGCTAATACAGAAGTACGTACGTACTAAGAAACTACATATGCATCAGAGACGGATCATGGTGCTTTCCACATAGAAACAAAAACCATCCCAACCAAGTCCCGAGCCTCGCAAACTTCGCAAACCACATCCGTTCCTATATTTAGCAGTGACCTAGCTGGGCGGTATATATCGCTCCAGAAACATCACAGTCAACAGACAAGCGACCATTCTTGGCTGGCCACTGACGACTGCTGTGGATGGTCTTGTCAGCTCACTAAAGACGTCAGACCGACGCCGGCCTGGTCGGGGTGCAGCAGAGAGGGAGTTGAGCGGGACGAGATATAAACAGGTGGGGAACTGACAGCGGGGCTGGGTACAGCGTGACTGAACTGAGCAGGGCGGGATACAGCCAGGACTGACCTAAGCGCGGGGCGGGGTGCATACAGCGTGGCTGACCCTTGAGTAGTGAGGAGACCGTGGTGTCCTATGGGGTGCAGCCGAGACGGGATTCAGCACTCTTCTCACTGCGTGATAGGTATTCTTTTTTGACAAAACATAGAATAACTCGAAGGCTTTGTTATCACTCCAAAGAACAGAGAAGCGCCATGGCCCACTCGGGTCTATCGTTATCTAAATTATACGTCAAGTGTCCCAACAAATGAGATAAGTTTGTTTTACGCCAAATATACACCTTTGTATTATATTGCAGCCAGACTGGGTGGAAAATGTTAACACGATAACACGCCCAACTAAGGTGCAGAGCCTCGTCCATCTTGGTGTTATGCTGTCCGAGTGAGCAATAACATAGTCTTCGAGTTATTAACAGTTTTGTCGGGGAAAAAACGAATACCTACCGGCTACCTCGCAGGTTGATGACGGCTATACACTTTAATGTATATTGTGTAATGTATAACTGGGACTAGCCTGAGCGGGCCGGGGTACAGCTGGGACTGACCTGAGCAGGGCGGGATCGAGCACCACCGATGCGGGCAGGTCGCGGGGATGCGCCAGCTCCTGGAGGCGCACTGTCTCCAGCACGGGTCCCCAGTGGCGCACCGTCTCTCGCTCGAGCTCCTCCAGGGAGGGCGTGGGTCCGCAGAGGACGCACACCTCGGAGACCTCGGAGAGCCGGCAGACGAGGAGCCGGAACGGGACCTGGACGGCAGGGGAGGTGTCCACGTCACGGTCGGATCACACACGGACACGGGTGCTGACATCGACACTGATGTGGACACGAACACTGATATTACGAGCACGGACACTTATACTGACGACACAGATACGGTACGGATACGAATACGGACTATACGGACACGGGCGCAAACACGGATACAGACACTTGGACACTACAACAGACACATTCATGGACGCACGTCGTTGACATTATGATTGACACGAGACAGGGTCTGGCCACGGAGGCATCGGGCATGCAGTCAACAAGGGTTTGGGCTTGGGGGTTTGATAGTTCAGCACTCAGCATGAAATAAAATGGAACACAACCTGACAGTTGGTTTAGCCTAAGTTTGTAGCACTCAGCGCATAAGCGAAACAATCAGAATAGCTGATATTTGACAGTGCATCTTGCTTTGTGGTACAGCTTGCATATAAATATTACATGGAATACCGTGACATATTGTTTCTGCCAATGAGCAAACATCATGTGCCTTTGTAATGCGTTTTAACGCCTGCTTCTAGAACTAAATGACCGCTAGCATTCTGTGCACGTTTATTTGACGCAACACTTGCAATAGGTGAGCATATTATGCCTGTGCGGCTTCCCGGTGGGCGGTTTTCCCAGCGATGCAATGACGTGCCGCAGAGACGTGATCAAATAAACAGTAAAGAACAGGTTACGGGAAAGGTAGGAACCACACAGAAGAGGAGCAGATGCCACACCAGATCACGGTAAAAAAAAATAGCGGCACAAACAGGGATAATCCTTCCCCATAAGGAACTATGAAGGACAAACATTATACGGGAAAGTCATCAGAGCATCCACACTCCACAGCGAAGAAAAAAAGCAATAATTTCACAGCTAAGACAATGGCAAATCCAGATCAAAGGGCAAAAGAACTATCCAGGCTTAAACGCAATACAAGAGCGAGAAAATATGTAAAGTTAAGCAGATATTTACATGCGACAGCTCGAAAAGTGCCTTTTGTCATATTTGAATTTCTTAGCGCGAGGTCATCGCCAAGATAATAAAACCACCATGTTGAGCCAATATTGTTAAATTTAGCCCAGGAACGTCAGAAACAGAGTATCCCTTGGTGGGAGGGCCCTAAAAGCGTCTACTGTCCGTTTTGCCGCCGTTACCTTACCAGCTGCAAAAACAGCGGGGTGTAGAGATATTGAGTGGTACGATCGAATGCACTACAGCGCCACCTCGCCCCGGTGAAGTGTATATCTCTTTTCCCATCCGCTCCCACCCGGTGCTCACGTGCGGGCTCTTGACGGGCAGAAAGACGGAGACGTCCCGGGCGGCGGCCGAGCCGCGCGCCGCGCGCACATACATAGCCAGCAGGCAGAGGTCGCGCGCGGCCAGCTGGTGCCAGTTGCGCGTGGCCGCCGCCAGCCGGCCGTGCACCAGAAGACAGCCGTACGTCGAGTCGGCCGACTCGGTCACCAGCTCCAGCGCCATCTGTGCAGCGGGGGAGGACACTCAGTCAGCAGCTCCAGCGCCATCTGGGCGACGAGAGGGCGGCAATCAGGGCGGTGTTTCACAACCACGCTGCCAGCCACTGCCAGCGCATTTCGCGAGCTGACGTCATACTTGTGGTAGTGTTGGAGCTATGAGCTTGTTGATGTTTCCATGGAAACCCGAATTGCCACGAGTGCTGGCAGCGCCGGTGAAATACTGCCCAGTCATCAGCTACAGCGGCATCTGAACGGCGCGGCAAGGCACTCAGTCACTAGCCGTCTGACAGTGAGGGACGACACTCAGCCATCAGCTCCAGGGCCATCTGAGCGGCACAGCAAGACACGATAACAGTCCGGACGGCGGCGCAGGACACGATTACAGTTCAGAGGACACGATTCGAGCGCAGACGGCGAGGGACAACGCTCTCACACAGAGATCCGACGGCACGCAAGACGCAGGACACGATTAAAATAATAGGGCCACTGACAATGCAGCACAGCTGTACAATCATCTCGGACGAAACATATCAACGACGGGCGATACCAGGTAAAGGAAAAATGAGGGACGTGCATCTCTATGTTTATGTGAACAATGAACATGCATACACGGATAACGACGTAAAACAGTTCAGGTAAATGCTAAATTTTTCCTCCAGGCCATACGTTTCTGTGAGCCATAAAGTATAATTTCTGGCACTAATTATGCAGAAACAGACAATATCACTCTAGCACACCCAACCCGACCTTCCTCCACCAACTCTACAAATGATGACAAGTCTACCGGCGTGGTCACCGACCTGCAGTTTGGTGGACGGCGGCAGTAGCATGACGTCCGGCAGGCCGGTGAGGTCGCAGAAGGTGTCGTGTCCCTCCTCCAGGCCGTCCAGCAGTCGGTCCACCAGTCGGTAGCAGCCCTGAGAGACGTAACACAGCGTCACACATCAAGGGTGGAACTCCGTCACAGTAACGCATCATATCACCGAATCGGGTGATGTACCGTTTTGTTCGCACAACGACTTAACGTTCGCACAACGCACAACGACTTATGAACGTCGGAAAGCTCAAAATACTTATGCAAACAGTGTACCAAATGGCAGTCAACTGTAAGCAACAACGGGGAGGGCACCGGGGCACCATGCCCCCTTTGATTTTGGCATTTTTACGTTAGCCCTATGTGCATTGAATGCAGGGCATATTTTAAGGATTTTTCACTGCGTCCCAAAGGTGGCATAGGGCACACGCTTTGATCGGAAAGGGCACATTGCAAGCGAAATAGTATATAATGCAAGTGAGATAATCTACAGATACATTGTGTACTGTGCTGGTGGAGGGACACTGCAAGCGGGATATTGGGAGCAGGCTGTGATTGCTTTTGGCCAGTCTCGAAATTCGCCCAGTCGTAGTGCGTTCTTTATTCGCATTCAAAGGGCGGACCGGCGATTTAATGACATTTACATTATTGTTAGTCACTCGTTTTCCTGAACGGCGTTGGGCGTGTTTGACCTCCCTTGACGCACCAAATTGTACCTATGCTTAGAGAATAAAAATGAATATGCACATGATTAAAATGTGATACATACGTCTCTTCATGCGTTTTTCACCCTTATCAATCGATTCAAAATAGAGGTTGACTTGCCAATTTGCATTGAAGATACTATGTGTTTGAAATAATTAGATGACGTAAGGTCAAACAGTACCCACCTAAGTTGTGACAAGAAATCATCGGATTTTAAAGCTACATAAAAAATCCATCATAGATTAATGCTTTGGATGAACGGATGCCTTGGATGCTTCGGATTTCGCTTCCTTACTGCCTATCATGTAATATAACCCAAACTTTTCCCAATGGAAGTTCCTTTGTTTAATCATTATGCCCAGAAATGTGTCGATTTTGTGCCATTTCCGGGCGCTTTGGGGGGGGGAGCATGGCCCCGTGGCCCCCTCTGGCCCTCTATATCCTCCTATGGCCAGACGGCCATGACGGCCCTGATCTGACCGTATGCCATCAAACGTCAAACTTCGCAATGATGCGATATTTTTTCGGAAAACGTGCCGGTATCTCAAAAACTATTATAGCTATGAGGGCGCAATCGATAGGAGAAAAGCAATCGATATATCTTGAACAGCTCTTTCGTCAATATTTCGTCAGAATTGAGTTGAGATCAACGGTTAAGGCTCCATAGCCAAAAACGGGTAAAATTACAATTTTTGTCAATATAGGTTTCATGAAAAGCTTTTGAACTAAAAAAGATAGAGAATTTTCGTTTGCACGATCGTTCTTCTCTCATTTTTACCTCGGAATGTCAAGGTCAGAACTTGACCTCACATTAAGGTCATTTCGTGACCAAGATAGATCATGTCGCATATCAGTCGATGCGTTTCGATGAGGTACCTCAAAACAATGATACAATCCACTGTGCATGCAAAAGCCCTGTAGGGCCGGATTTTGGGCCAGGCTCTGGGCCTGCGGGCTCCAACTTGACATCTCTAAACAGGACTTTAGGGAAGGGCAGGACACAGAGTCTGAGCCCTAAGGACAGGGCAGGCACAGGCCATGAAGCTAAGATAAGACGGATACTTGAGGGCTGGGTAGGATGCAGGGTCCGAGGGCAAGGCAAGGCGCGGGTCTGAGGCTATCATTACACAAGGCGGGAGAGTAGTGCAAGACACAGGACCTTAGAACACCTGATGATCAACACACCTGATGGCAGGGCAACACGCAGGATCTTAGAGGTGTGGATGCTTGGATTATTTGCTTGGATTATTTTGCATCGTATACCCAGTCCAAGTCTCAAATGTAACAATTTGCGTGCAAAATTTAGCAAGCACATGTAGGATTATGTATTGGGCTATTGCAAACAAATTTACCACCCTTAGATTAGTTTATTCTGAAACCGGTTTTTCGATGTTACCTAGCTAGGTAGTTTGGTGCAAGAGGCCAGTACCTAGAAATAGCAAGAAATAGTACCTAAAGGTAGAGCAAGACATAAGACACAGGTATGGCACAAGGCCCGAAACACCGCCCACGTCTTGTCATACCTTCGGGCCCTGAAGGTATGACAAGACGTGGGCGGTGTTTCACGGACGCTGCTATTAAATTCCGCGAGCTGACGTCATACTTGTGGTAGTGTTTGAGCAATGGGCCTGTTGATGTCTCCATGGAAACCCAATTTGACACGTGTAATAGCAGCGTGCTGCTAGTGCTATCACCGGTGAAACAGGGCCAGGGTATGGGGCCTGTGGGCAGGGCAAGGCTCAGGGCATGAAGGCAGAACAAAGCACGGGTTCTGAGGACAGGTAAGGGCACGGGGCATGAGGACGGGAAACGGCACGGGACCTGAGGGCGGGAGACACCACAGGGCCTGATGACAGGGCAGGGCACAGCGCCTGAGAGCGGGCATGGGACACGAGATCTTAGGGCAATGCAGAATACAGGGCTTGAGGGCAGAGTAGGACACAGGGTCTGATGGCATGGGACGGCACAAGGCCTGACGACAGGGCAGAGCACAGCAACTTAGGGCGAGGCAGGGCACGGGCCTGAGGGCGATACCACGCATAAGGCTTAATGACAGAATAGGGCACAGGGTCTAAGGGCAGGGCAATGCACATGAGGCCTGGAAGCAGAACATGACAGGACAGGGCCTGAGGCAGGGCAAGGCATTAGGCTCGAGGATGGGCGCGGGGTCGGGGCATGAGGACATGGGAAGGCACAAGGCCTGATGGCAGGGCAGGGCACAGTACCTGAAGACAAGGCAGCGGCACGGGGTCTGATGGCAGGACGTGTCACAAGGCTTGAGGGCAGAGAAGGGCAGGGGCCCCAAACTAGGGTAGGGCAGGGCACGGGGCCAAAAGACGGGAAGGCAGCGCATCAAATTTCCAGGCAGAATATATAAAGTATCGTGTTTGAGGGCAGGGCAGAGCGGGGCACAGGGCCTGAATGCAGAGCAGGGCACAGGGCCTGAAGAAACGGCAGGGCAAGGTACAAGACCTAAGGACAGGGCACTGGGCAGGGCACATATCCTAGGGGTATAGTAGGGAAGAACATACACCTTTTTGCACTCAAAATAGGCATCTTTTCATTCAATTTCGGCGAATTGCATTCAATTTTAGCGATCTCTCTATTCGAAGCAAATGAGAGATCGCTAAAATTGAATGCAATTCGCCGAAATTGAATGTAAAGATGCCTATTTTGAGTGCAAAAAGGTGTAATAAGGTGTATGACCAAGGGTAGGGCCGGGCACAAGGACTGGAGAGGGCATCTATGTGCTTAGGTACATAGTAAATCAGGGCACAAAGCAATCGGAAAGCCTACATCTTTTACACAGTAAAAGACCGAGGCATGTTACTTATTTTTGCTCGCACTTTTCGGCTGAAACCGTGGCATTTCAGTGTGGGACGCAGTGGTCCAAATTTTGCGAGGGCTACGTCCCAAAGGCAGGGGGCTGCGTCCCAAAATGGGACGCAGTAAGTATGTTAAAATATGCCCTGATTGAATGGAGAGGATGGGACCAAAAGTCGGCAGTGCCCCCCCCCCTTAATTGAAGGTGTTCCGCCGCTACTGGTAAGGCAAATGTCCGCTGTACTTAAACAGACAATATAAGCATTAGATTTGTTGTCATTCGATGTTTCTGCGCCTTCACGAACCTTGAGTTGCCGTTTGACCTTTTCGACGTTGGCCATGTTTGCGAGGTCATCGACCCCGACGCAGAGAACCATGGCGTCCCAGACCTGGTCCATCAGGTGGTCCAAGTGGATGGGGTCGCCGGTGGACAGCTTGCAGATCAGGATCACCGTCACACTGCACGGAGTCGATCAGAGTTACACATCCCTGTGCTGGTACGTGAGCGACAGGTTCGAATGTTGAAACGCCCTAATGAATTTTGGTGGGCCGTTGATCGTTACATCGTTAAATACGATCGCGTACCTATTTAAATAGCATCAAGCATTAGGAGCCTGCTCCAGCGACGGTTCTTTGACGTCCACGTCAAATCCACTAAAATACATAAAATCGTAAATAAAATATGCACAAGTAGGTACAATAGAAGTAGTACGACAATAGATAAATATGAGATGAAAGGGTAAAATCAACCTGGCTACTGTGCACCGGTTAATTTGTTAGGACAACTGAGGCTCGCACGTGGAATCGAATGATCGCTGCATGGCTGCAACATCTCCCTCGAGCAGCATCAGCTCAATCGTTTCGACTACGTTCGAATTTCTCCCACTGCTTCCGGATCGACGATCAGTCGGCGAGAAAGCCGATCGCCGATTGTGACAGTCGGCGAGAAAGCCGATCGCTGATTGTGAATGTCCGGCCAACCGCAAGTTGTCGAAAGGTCGGGCCATCTGATGACTGATTGCAACTCAGTACTATGCATGAGACATACCAGGATCAGAGTATAACAGCTGGTAGATCACCTCACCTGTCCTGGAACTCTCTCCATCTTATTTGGCAGCATGTTGTCTCCACACTTAGTAGATGAACATCAAATGACTTGCCAAAAACAAACGCTCCATTTAGGGCAGCCTGGATTGGAAATGGTAGCTGAAAAAAAACAGAAGCATCAGTTTATAACAGACAACTTATGTTTATATTTTTTCCTTAGTGTCATCAGGTCTTTAAGCAGGTTTTAAGCATAAATTATCTGGTTCTGTAAACTTAAATGAGTGAGGCCAGATTTGTGTAAATATCTCAAGAACATAAGAGTCTACCAAATTTTCATAATTAGGTAGCAGCATGTGAGATACCTTCTATAAGAATACCTACCGAGTTAGGTACCTAGTTTGCAAAATTAATAGTTTTTAACGTATACCTATTTTGGAGTTGCACTAGAATATACCAGAATTAGAAATTTTGTGACTGATCATTCAACTCATGAGAATTCAGTCAATTAGGATCTAGGTCATAGGATATTGATGTTGACATTAATTCTGTCAGCCCTTTTCATTTTAAGCATTATCGTGTTAGCATGATTTACTAATTGCTTACTTCCTATACATTACATGCAAGAAAGCGATGCACTGATACATGAAATACAGGCAAGAACAAGGATTTGTGATCCATGGTAGGAACCTATCAACATGAATCCATAAACTGAATGATAATTAAAATACTTTGTCAGCTGTAGCCTGTAGGTAGAGGTACGCACCAAATAGGTCAACTTACATTGGCAATGTCACCCTTCTTTTTGCAGAGAACAGGAATCCCAGCTGGTGATGAGATACAGCATAGATAACTTGGCATTGCCAGATTTTCATTAAAAGCATAATAATAAAACAAATCGTCCCAAACCCCTACCCCCAACGCGCGGCCAGTGGCTTTTGCGCCAGTGCACGCAACAGGCACGCCAGAAATGGATGATCCTTCATGTATGTGGTCTCGAGCCTAGCGGAAATTTTATAAACTGTTTTTATTTGACGTAAATGTATTGCATTTACACATCAAACATGCAGCAAATAAAAGCTTGAATTTAAATTTTTTCATTTATTTTAAATTTGAGAAATCATATGATATTTTATGAAAATCATTTTTATCACAGGACTAAGCTAAGCACTAATGACTAAGGTGTACCTTGGCATTACTTTATTGAATTTGAGCATTGCGTTCTGTGTGAGAGATAAGCGAACTACAAATCGTGGTCCGTCGCTCAATACTGAACATTTGAGAGACGCTTTTCATATTATTTTTGTGATAATTATTATTGGAATTTTGCGTCTGGTAAGTCAAGTGATTAGCTTTAAAGCTGAAATTGAAATGGCCTCAGCCTTGCTCAAAAGAATGAGACTAATGTGAAGGATTGTTTTTTTCAGCGTGTTACTTTGTTATGATTTAAATTGTGTTTTGATATCCCCTCACACCATTATCGAGATCTTAGAAGTAACTGTAACACTACCTGAGAAATACATTTTCAAGGCCCTCTGCTTTTGCCTTTCATTTTGTTGTACCTATGGCCAGACAGCAAGCATAACAACTTTAGCTATCTATTATAGCTTGATTTTGTCAGTGTGGGGGCACTCAACCAGCCTGGAGTGTAGTGCAGATATACTGTGTTTCAGCACAGACTTTGTATAGATTGGTTGTGGTGTGGGTCCTGATGTGGTAATATTTGTCTCAACATAAGGGTTCGGTGACCAGTAGTTGGAATGTGGTCTAGACCTCAGTTTATGTCCCTAATTGCATAAGGTGGGGTCATGGGGTGCACTCTTTCCAAAGCTGATGGCTGTTGACTGTCAGTCTGGCAGCTCAACTTATTGGCATTTTTGTGCTTTTTCTAATCACAAACATATTTTCAGTTGCATAGTAAAATTATTGGCTTTTTGCAGGCCAGTCCCAAATTTCAGTGCTGTTTACGTGGACTGACATTATTTGTGAGAATGGGTTGCCCACTTTGTTACTCTGGTTTGGAGTCAGCTCATCTGCTGGCTGATAAACTGGCCATTGACATTGGCAACCATGAATGAAAATGACAAAGTGTTCTTCTTTCTATAAGTATAATCACTTACTCACAATGATTTTCACTGGTCTTGGATGCTGATCAGCCCATTGTCATGTGGCTAAGAAATTGGTGAAGTTCTTAAGGAAGTCTGAAGAGTTTTACCCTTGGTTTAGCAATGTCATGCATGACACAAACATTTGAAGCTAATGAGGATAAACAGGGGTGCTTGAACCTCTCCTACATATTAATATTTTGTTCTGGTGACTGGTCAGGTGGTTTTTGGCTACTGGTTTTTCTTTCATGCATTTTCTTTTCAGAAGCAATGGATTCAGGCAAAGCAGATCTGCAGAGTGTTGTCAACAAAGCACTTGCTGACTTTGTCCAGGAGCACATCCCATCTGCTTCCTTGGAGTAAGTGGTGTCATATAATGTCAGGGTTGGCACCAGCACACATCCTTGGGAGGAGTAACGTCTAGGGAGGTTGGAATTTTACCATTGTCAGTTATGGCTCAGTTTTGCTGTCTTATTGCTCACTTTCAGTCAACTTGCATATGCTGGCATTACAATGGTGCCTGATCTTACGATTTACAACATTATGATATTGTGTTATTTCTATCAAAAAGTTGTAGCTTAGCAGCACCTAACTGATCTCGCTACGCACTCTGTCTTCCAGCTGCGTCGACGACATCGTGTTGAGCTACGTGGTGGGCATCCTGGAGGACCTGGGCGAGGACGAGGACGGCTTCGACGTGGAGGGCTTCACCGAGATGCTGGAGGCCTACATCCCCGAGTTCTCCGAGATCAGGCCCGAACAGGTGTGCGAGTGGATCTTCGGCCTGTCGGCGGAGCTGGCCAAACGCCGCAAAGGTGAGGAAACCCGGCCGCCCGCCGGACTCCCGCGGAATGCATAGTTTGTCGGACTTGCTATATGAGCGACAGGCACATCACACAGACTGATTGTGAACCGTATTTTCTGGCCTGACCTGACCTGACCTGACTTTTAACCAAGGTATCTGTCTCTGTATACAGAGGTACGTCAAACGGACCCCAGTTGTGACCGGGTACCCTGACCCTGACTGTGTCTCTGCCCACAGAGGTACGTCACACGGACCCCGGCTGTGACCCAGTACCCTGACCTGACCTGACCACTGACCTGACTGTGTGTCTCTGTCCGTGCCCACAGAGGTGCGTCACACGGACCCCGGCTGCGACCCGGTGGCGCTGCTGGCCTCCCAGATGGAGACAGCCGTCCGGCCGCGGCACAGCTCGGCCGCCTCGGGCTCGGAGGAGACGGCCGACGGCTCGGCCGGCGGCCGCACACCGCGTCTCTCCGAGACCAGCGAGGCGGGCTCGGACACCAGCGACCAGGCCGTTGTCGAGGTGGGTGCGAGGAGGCTGGGAGGAGAGGAGACTTCACTACAACTTCACTACAGGGAGAGGGGCGGGTACCGTGGAAAAAATGACGTTGGTTGTTGTTATTATCGCTGTCCCTCCGCTCAATGATCAAGCGTAGCCGAACGGCCATGGAAGGACCTGGCAGCGGCCGTCAGACTCGGAGCCGCCACCAAGACGGCGTCTCAGTCTCGCAGGTCTCTCAGTCGTGGGTAAATAGACCCTAGCAGGCGCATGCGGATCCCCATGAGTGTCGGGCAGCGCGCCAGCACGTGCCTCGGTGTGTCCGCTTTCTCTTTGCAGATGGGCACGCGAGGCTGCTGCATTGCTCACAGCGCCTGCCGGGTTTTGCGTCCAATCTTTCACTTCGTTGAAGATTCAAAAGTGTTAGCAGCTATTGACCTCACCCCAAATCATTATTGAAAACGAATTGAAAGTTTTCCAGACGCATAGCCCTCAGCAGACTGCGTGGTAGGTATTCTTTTTATTTCGACAAAACCGTTATGCTATCAGTCGGTCGGAACTCACTGCAAAATTTTGGGTTTGTTGCCAAACTGGATGGAAAATGAATACGATGGTATTGCCATTTAAGGTGCGGAGCCTCGCGCGTCTTGCTGTTGCGATTTCCGAGTGACCGATAGCATAGTATCCGCGTTATTCTCGGTTTTGTCGAGAAAAAAAAAGAATACCTACCACGCAGTTTGCAGAGGGCTGCACTGTCGATAGGAGCCGTGCTACATAGTTTTGGTTGCTACTGAGAGCACGTCCTAGCTGTAGCCAGTGCAGCTGGACCGAAATTCTTATTCTGCCCACTTCCTTTTCATCATGACCTTGTGTCTGACCTGATATCCTGACTCCTAGTTCCGGCTGACTTCTCGAATACCTCGACTGACCTCTCTAAACCGACTGACTTCTCTGGTAGGACGACTGACCTTTTCTAACGCCATTGACCTTCTAATCTAGGTGTCAGGTGACCTCTGTCATGCCCCTACTGGCCCCTTATACCCTAACTAACCTCTCTGTCTCCCGACTGACCTATCAATATCCCCGATTGCCCCCTATAACCTGACATGACTGACCTCTGTTCACCCGGACGACTGACTGTTCTGCCCTGACTCCCCAGGAGGAGCTACGTATGCTGGCGGACATGTTCCCGGACGACTGACTACTGCCCGGACCCCCTTCCGCAGGAGGAGCTGCGTATGTTGGCGGACATGTTCCCGGACGCGTGTCGTCTGGAGCTGCACCACTGCCTGTCGCTGGCGGCCGGCTGTCTGGAGAAGGCCGCTCAGCTGCTGCTGGCCAGACAGGAGAGCGGCGACGCCATCACCCAGCAGCAGCAGGTGGGTGGTGGCAGGCCGCGTTGATTCACGGAACGGGTGTTACAACTGCAGACCTCTGTCTGCTTGGCGTCATGAGATAGTTGGGAGCAAAAACTAGAAAATGGCCGTGTAGCATTGCTATAATATTTTCAATATGAATTGTTTTTGCCTCTGTGCAAGGATACAATGAAGCGGAGATATTAGCACATGGCATCCGAGTTTTGTATGTGAAACCACATGGTTGATTATGCTTGTCCAGGTGCTGAGTCGTCGGCGCGGCGACCGCCGGGAGCTGGATGACGAGTCTTTGAAGGCCAGCATCATCGCCAAGTACAGCTACCAGGACGTCGACGGCAGCAAGCGCCAGCACAAACCGCACCTGCCCAAATCGGTGAGTCGAGGACTGGCGTGAGCTCGAGCCACACCTCCCCAAATCGGTGAGTCGAGGCCATAACGCTGACACGAGCCGCATGTGCCCAAATCGGTGAGTCAGGGTCTAACGCGAGCACAAGCCGCACGCCCTCCTAAAGTGGTAAGACAGGGCCACAATGCGAGCGCAAGAGGCACTTGTCCAAATCGTTCAACGGACACTGTCGCCGGAGCAGGCCTATTCGGGGCTGGGATGGCTCTGCTGCCGCCAGGTTACCGGTTCCTCGGGCTCATATTGAGAAGCCAATCCGTGGGGAGAAGACGCGCAGGTTTTTTTAACACAGCATCTCTTTGATGGGCCCTGATTATTTGCTTCGTATTGTGTCGTACCGTAATTCACCTCATGTTGCATGAACGGCGATGGCCGCGCAAAATTGTGAATTGTTCGTAATTACTTAGCTTTGAGTGTGATAAGCTCAAAAACTTGATTTTGTCTCCTCCCTTTATCGCTTCGTTCGGCCCTGTTATCCTATTCACCACATAGCCAGCAATAGCAATATCGGAACTTAACGTGACGTGCGGAGTCCCTACGATCTCGGGTAACATGCTTGCGACGTTCCGCTCCCGCAGTCGCCCAAGAAACTGGTGCGCTATCTGGACAACAAGGTGGTCTCCCTGAAGGGCGAGCGTTTCACGGAGATCAAGCGCAGCCCCGAGACCAAGGACGAGATGAAGAAGACGTACGTCAGCCTGAAGCCGCTGAAGCAGTACCGGTTCCACTAGTGTGCGGCCGGCCGGCGGTGGCGCCGCACCCGGCCGCCGCCGCCCCGCCGGCCCAACGTCAGATGATGCTGGCCGGGGGCCCGGGCGCCCCCTGCTCCCCAGCACCCCCGGCGGCCGGAGGTCCGCCCACTCCCCGTATCTGTCCCCGGTGTCTGTGGACGAGCGCGTGTGGCTGGGTGTGCGTGTGGCCGCCGAGGTCGGCCCCTCGGCGCGGCGCCGCGGTCTCAGTGTTCGGTATGTTTCCCTAGCACACGCCGCGCTCACAGCGCACTTGGCCGCACGCTCAGCAATCCACAGGGTCGGATAGGAGAGATTAATTTCACTTGTAGGACGCTCCGAGCCTGGGAGCTTTTCGATATGTTTACACAATTTAGGAAGCGTTGGCCTTACGTTACAGAGGAAATGCGAACTCGCAAGAATTATGCTGAATTCGACACGAAATCAATTTTAGGGTTAGTTACGATACGATACGATAACCACCGTCGTAATATGAAGGGTGTGGGGAACGGGCTCTCATAGTTAACGAAACTGTCACCATATGGTAATGGTATTCAGTGGCCGCGTTGTGTGTTCTAGTCACTCCAAATTTTGTAACATTATGTGATAAGTTAACCGTAAGCACGATCTTCACTTGTCCCGACATGGCCCCATCATATGACGCATTTAGGGAAATTGTCACTACCGTTTTGTTATCGCTATTATGAACGCGACGTTACAAAATTTAACGGAGTGATAATTTATCGCGAGTTATAGGAACGACGTTTATGCCTCATTCTTTTCTTTTTAGTGTTACTTGCTTAATTTCATCGTGTTCTCAAACTTGCGTGGCACCATGTGAAACATTCTCTTTGCAGAAGATAGGAAACAAATATGATTGTCTTTCAAGTGTATAATGTTGCACTGGTCGCTTTCTACAGATCTGAAACCAGTTTCTCCGTTTTTTTTTTCACAGCTTTCCATTGCATGTATTTTGTTTTCTTATACTACTTTCTCTGAGGTATTGAGAGATACGAGCGCTGCCGATCGGTCTTACTCCGCTGTCTAACTCCGCTGTGCCGCCGCCAGTCCGGTCTGGTGGTGGTACGATCTCGCCTACCGCTGCCGTGTGTGGCTGCGCTGATCCGCTCCGGGCCGAACCGGCGCTAGATGGGTCGGGGTTGACCGTGCGCACATCTCAGGAGGTACCCGGGCATTGTCAGTTGTGAACGACCACAGCTCGGGCTGATGTTAAACGCGCTGCACTTCAGTCGTGCAACCCGTTCGGTCTCACTGATTATGATGTTTTCTGACGGCGTGAGCTGCTGGTTTGTTCCATTATTTGACCAAGAAGGATGTCGTAGGATGCTTAGACTCACTCACGTTAGTTCCTCTCATTAGCGTATTTTGTGTGTTGCACATATGTTTTTTTTCTGTTAACCGTCACCCATGTATGGATGTATGTGTTTAGCCAGTAGGATGTACGGACTCTGTGCGCGAGTGGCACGGTCGCTGTGTCCTCTCCAAGGAGCTCGGCTGGACGGTTCGGTGATGGAGCATTATCGCTCAGCTTGTGCCAAGCTGCGTGTTGGACCCCCAGCCCTCCAGGCACAGTCGCCAGTCGCACGCTCCGACACTCTGTCTCCGGCTCTTTCCTCGCTCTGATCTCTGTCATCCGTTGGCGCCGTGCTCCGCCGCTCTGCCGGCTCTCTGTGTGTGTCGCGGCGCCCTCTGCCGAATTGTGTGTGATAGTGGTGTGTGCCCGGGAGCGCTGTGTGTTTGTTGTGTAGTACAATGTTACTTGGCCGCTGCGGGCCTGTGAACTGCCCGCTGACGGCGTCACTAGAGATTACTATATGTTGCTGCCGTTGTGTCATTTTTCACTATCTCAGAGAGTTTCATTCGTTTGGAGTCAGTGTTTTGTCACAGCGCCGGTCGTTGGAGGCTGCGCACTCCGGCTCGGGCCACCGTTCTTTTCTTCACTGCGCAGCTACTGCCTGCTTTCTGAGCTTTGTAGACGTATGTCGTCATGAGACCAATTCTAACTGTTCCACTGTGCGTATGTGTGTATTGTGAGTGGCTCTGTGCTTACTGAGCGACGAGAAGGCCCTCTGGTGACCGCACCAGCCGTACCGGTGTGTACCCGATGAGAGGGGCGCGGTGAGGCCGCCGGCACGGGGGACCCCGGCCGCTCCGGCTGGCTCCGAGTGGCCGCGCCCATCAGTCGCCGCACGGCCGCTGCCAAATACACGCTGTATGTGTGTACCGAGGCTGCTACTCTGACAGAGTGGGATATTCAGCACTTACGTACTGTTTGAGATGGTTTGCCAGTGAGGCAGCTGCTCTGCCCAAAGCAATGCGGTGAGGTCTGGCATTGGGACCAGAGAGCCATGCCCTCTCCGCTCTTCAGATTTTTATTCTCATAAAAGCTATGACGTTTCTATATCATTATCAAAACGTCGGTTTGGAAGCCGAAAATGAGCTTGCGTGGCTCCTCTTTTCATTGCAAATTGAGCATGCAAGTTGATGATGCACCTGTTTACGACATAACGGTAAGGTTCATGCTTGCTGACCAATCTGAAAAGGCAGCTAAATCCACAAGCTTGTTTTGCTCTATTAGGTACACGGAAATGTTGAGACTCGTTCGTCTCAGATTTTCGACTATGTCAGGCGGATGCAGATTGAAGAAGAAAGATGTGCTGGTGCGTGCCTGGCAGATGTATGATGCACACAGCAGAAATACTTCAAAGTTGTCTGCTGGGGCCTGAGTGCATACATACCCTGGGTGCATACGGGTGATTTTTTGCTGATCAACCAGTTTGTTGATCAACCAACCACACTACTGCGGGACCCCAGCTGGTGTCAGCAGTAGCGGCGGAACACCTTCGGCTCTGACGGGGGGGGGGGGGCACTGCCGACTTTTGGTCCCATTCTTTCCATGAAACGCCCATAGGGCTAATGTTGAAATGCCAAAATCAAAGGGGGCACGGTGCCCCGGTGCCCTCCCCGTTCCGCCGCCTATGGGAGTCGGGCTAAATCAAGACCAGGCTTTAATCTTCTGCTCATCCAGCAGTTGACAGATCTGCTAATCGATAATGCGGGATGGATTTTAATCTGGAATGGTGCGTGATGCACGCTGTCGCTGAGGCAAGGCCCTAAAACATACACTGGTTTACATAGCCTTGCATACGCTTACTAAGTGCGCTGAGGCAAGCGCTGAGGTGTCTTGAAAGTGGCACCTCTAGTCAAATCATGTACCATCACTTTGTTATCTGATCAGTCTTTACTCGGGCACTATTAGAAATTGTCTGAAAATTAAATTCATTAAATGATTTATTTTATACAAATTGATCCCATTTATCAATCTCAAAGCTGAAATTTCTTATCAGAAATGACTAGTTTCCCAGCACTAAATAACTAACCGCCGGAATCCGCCATTTTCATTCGGCGTGGTGGTGTTTTGGGTCCGTTTGTGGTGTAGTGTGGAAAGTGTGTATTTCATACTCATGTGTAGTTGAACATTGCGATAGGTAAGTTTATGGTTCGCTTGTTACTTTGATGCATTTTGACGTTTTTCAGTTACTGGGAATACGAGATTTTACTTGCATGTTTCTTAGCGTGCACTTGCCGGTGTGCGCCATTTCTGTCTTACGCTTATTTTTGCTTTATTAACTGATTGACTCATGTAAGATACGTACAAGATCTGCTTTTTCATGTTATTTTCTGTAAGTGTTTCCTCTCGTTGTGTTAATGTATATTTATGACTGGGATTGGTGGGTAGTATTGTTTTCATTTTCAGAGAATGGTATCTGCCTTTCTGGTACAGCCTGAGGGCTGTTCACGGGTGCTGCATACCAGTCGGGGAAACTATGGTAAAATCTGCTATTTTTAGCAGTCTGCTATTTTTAGCAGAAATCTGCCAAAAATGGGTACGCATGTGACGTCGTCGTACCCAAATATCAGTAGGCGGAACTATGGTCATGAGTACCCAAATATAGGAACGTTCCCGTTTTTGGGAACGGAGTTCCCAAATATGGGAACGGGCGTTCCCATTTATGAGAACGGAAGGCAATTTTTCGGCCGTTCGCCCACTAAAACTCAAAAGTGCATCACGTCTCAAAAAAGTGCACGCTGATTGAAGTATCTACAAAATCTCCATAAAGTTATCTTTAATCTGACCGTGGAACAAGGAAATTGACCGTGGAATGATATTTTTAATGATTTTTTTAAAATGACAAAATGTTGAAAATATGGGTTATACGACATTTAACATGCAATTTTAAGGAAAATGAAGCATTTTTTAGTTTGAGGTTAAGTATAATAATTTTCGCCTGGTTATGAACTTTCATACTATCGACACCAGATGCTGACAAATGCAAGCGAAGACGCGGACGGTCCCGAGGTAATATTGTTGACTTTTGGTGTCGGAGCGGACGACCGCGTGGAACGTGAGTGAATTTACCGAACTACTGTTGTAAACTCAGTTTAAGCGGTTGAAAATTATCCAGCTGTATTTTATCAACCCTGAAAGACATATTTTATTTGGATGCTAGCTGTTAAGCATTGCTTTTAAGGAGCGTCATGAGCGTGGTTTTTGCCTTCGGTATTTTTAAGCACGATCGTTTTGGGGGAATTTCTTTTATGCAGGTCGCCCTGTGTGGCTTATTTATAATTTTTATGCTGATTTTGATCATTTCTCGTGCCCATCCTACCAGGATTTTGCCACTTACACTCATTAAGAAAGGAAAAAAGTAGATTTATATTGGGACTAGGTGTTTTGAGAGTGAAACATTTCAGCGTTCCCATTTTTGGATACTTACTTGTGCTCATCAACTATCAGTGTTAAACAGACAGGTGTTTTACATGCCTCCACCCTCGGCGCGGACGGTGTATATAGGTATGGAAGACCTTGTTGAACATCGCTGAGCGTTGTGAATTACGTAATCCTGCAGAGGGGGGCGTGCCCGTTGCGAGATCGACGGGAATAAAAGCGCAGAAGACCGGGCGAAACATGCGACGGTCTTGCCGGAAAGGTCATCTGATGATTGTTGCGTTAACAATAATTTGCGGCGTTGGACGTGATGCTTGTTAATGAAAAGAGCCCCTGAAAGCCGTCGGTGAAATCGTTCCCAATTTTGGGTACGCCGTTCCCATAATAAGGAACGCTTGCAGCGCCAGTGTACGAGAGCGTTCCCAAATTTGGGCTCGCGGCCCGTATGATGGACTGCTTTAGAAATAGGGGAACGATTTGAAACTACGATGGGCCTTACAATATCAAACTCTTTCCCAACAATATTGAGACAAATATCAGGCGGTTCACGATCGTTTTATATTTTTTGGACGTCATTTAACGGTTCTTTTTCTTGTTTTAAATAATGCCTACATGGCGTTCCCATATTTGGGTTTATCGTTCCCAAAGATGGGAACGAAAATGCGTTCCCGAAAATGGGTACGCTTGACCATAGTTCCGCCTACTGATATAGCAGATTTGGGTACGGCCCCATACAAAAGCAGATCTGCACCCTAGTTGAAGCAAATGCGCATCAAATGCCTGGCAGATTCATGATTAGAATAGTGCTGAGAATGTCCTCAGATATTTTTGTTCAGATCCGACTATTTTCAAATAATGAATTTGAAAATAGTCGGATCTGAACAAAAATAGCAGAGATCACTCTCAGCACTATTCTCATCATGAATCTGCCAGGCATTTGATGCGCATTTGCTTCAATTAGGGTGTAGATCTGCTTCTGTATGGGGCCGTATCCAAATCTGCTATATTTGGGTACGATGACGTCACATGCGTACCCATTTTTGGCAGATTTCTGCTAAAAATAGCAGACTGCTAAAAATAGCAGATTTTACCATAGTTTCCCCGACTGATACTGCTGCCTGTGGTGTGTGTGTGGAGTGGTGTGTGCAGCAGGCGTGGGGTAGGGGATGGGCCAGACTGCAAAGTATGGCAATTTCGACGAGATCTCGTCGGTGCGGGCTTGTTCGGCTGGTGCGGATTTTGGAGTGGTGCGGTGCGGATTTTGCCTGGTGCGGTGCGGATTTGGCTTGGACCGGACTTCGCTTGGTCTTCTTACCCAGACGGGTTTCCTTGTTGACTGTTCTTTGGAAAGCCCTACAAAGGTGTGCCAGCCACGGTGACGCACGGTGACGGAGAAAGGTTTTAAATTTACTTATGAACTAACAATTGCGGCAGAACAAATCCATTCTCGCCTCGGAAATTAACGTGATGACGACGTCATTAGAACGAAGACTGGTTGCGGTGGTGACTGGTATGTCACATTTGCGAGCAGCTGGTTTGAATTGCCAATCAGCACGCTACTTTGGAATGACGTCATTAGTTTTACTCATACGAAAGTTTGTTGGGGCGATTTTATCAAGGCTCGTCAAATTCACACGTGACATTTAGCATGTAGAAGGCCCACAGAGAGGGGAGAAGTTCCGAATGTCACGTGACCCAATATGCCCTCCGGCGCCCTTTTGTCACCGGCGTCCGTCTATTTGCTCTATTTCAAACTTATGGTACAAGTGCGCGGCACGGTCCCGTGGTGAGCGTTGCTCGTGAAACTGAAATTGGAGGGAAATAATTATAGTGAGATGAATGAAGTCCCTTGCATTATAATTGCCTGTGGGTTCGGTGCAGATATTTTGGGCTCTCGGCTCGCTTTGGTGCGGATTTTCCGGCTCAGTTTGAAGGGTTGGTGCGGATTTTGAACTTGGGCCGGTGCGCCTCGTCGACCTGCGTGCCATACTTTGCAGTCTGGGGGAGGGGTAGTCTGTATGACATCACGGTCACACGGCTGCGAGCTGTATGCTGTGACGGAAGGCTGACATGGTGGTATGGATGCAGTGGACAGAGCTTGGAGGCTGTGTACGGACCTACCACACACAGGGCCCATGAATAGCCCTCTGATGTCTGTCATGTTTATATGCAATGCTATATTAGTTGTTGGTAATCCTACAGTTATCGGCATTAGTAGAACAGACGTCACACAAAGGTTTTCAACTCACCTGTTCAACTCACCTGTTTGGGGATCCCTTGGTCTGAGAGTAGCCAAAATGAATGCAGGGATGGGGAGAAGGGAAGGAGCCCGCATAGAAAGAGCTCGCCCTATGGATGAGAACACATCCAAACAGGAAAGTGAGCCCACAAGTGCCAAATGAATGAGTTTACAAGAGTTTTCAAGAGAGATGAATGAGTTTTCGAACTGAGGAGAGGCGCTGTAGGTTTGTAGGTTGTAGGGTAGGTTTGTAGGTTGTAGGTTTGTAGGTTACGTTAGGTCAGGTTAGGTTAGGTTTGTTTAGGTTTTGTTAGAAAGAAGCACCTCCGGTTATGGCGCCTCTCCTTGGTTGGAAAACCTTTGTGTGACGTCTGCTCTACTAATACCCAGTTATCTTACACCTGCCTTAATCCCATGCTAGGCTAAATGAGAAAATCACTTAAAGCAGAGTGAACAAAATAAGCATCAGACAGTGTCCTGAAATCGATTTTTTTTTAGTGTGACTGAAGCTGTGAAGACGTCACTGTTTCAAAAGAACATCAAGTTCTATATCGGTGCCAAACCTAAACCACTGAAAATCCCTTTAACAGTATCACATGTGGTATAGACCCAATAAAACCTAATATTGTTTATACTGTTCATCAAAGAACTGCCAAGGCTAACCCACAGCACCATGAAACTCTATGCTGATGACACAAAGCTGTAGCAGCCAGTGTCAAGCAAGAATGATGCAGAAATGCTCCAAACTGACCTGGAGAGTGGAGGACACACTAGCCTTCTGGTGAAACAAGTTGCTCTTACAGGTCAATGTGACAAAATGTAAAGTAGTGCATTTAGGCACCCAAAATTCCGGAGAAAGATGTCTGAAACAGCCAAATGGAGAGGCATTGGAGCTTGTAAAAACAGACATGGAGAAGGTCTTAGGAGTTTGGGTATCTAGTTTGCTGAAGTCTTCCTCCCACTGCCTGAAGGCTGGTAATAAAGCCATGTCAGCACTGAAACTTCTTGAATGGCCTTTGACGCCCTGACTACAATTAGAACTTTGGTTGTTGGTAATCCTACAGTTAGCTTACACCTGCCTTAACCCGGCGGCCGCTGGGCCTCCGCGCCACCCGCCGGCCGCTGGGGGGGGGGGGGCATAAAGTTGCCCCCCTTTACTTCTGCGACGATATCGTCGCAACGCGAAGAGATAGAGAAGCGAAACTTTGCACACATCTTCCTGAATACCTAGCCGAGGTTGTGTCCAAATTTGGTGTCGATCCCATTTGAGATGACGTCACAGTGACGTCATAAGTGAAATTATAGATTTTGCGACTCACATATTCCTCACGATACATCACATATATGGAACCGAATATAAAGGGCCGATTATTGGTCAGAAACTAGATGGAAGTGTAGTAAGATGTTTTAGGATGACAGCAGGTGCTGTCTAGTTCATTTACAGTCGAGTTTCATGCTCAGCGTCATCAGAAACGGTCCATATCGGAAAACGTCAAAACTTTATGACGTCACTGTGACGTCATCTTAGGTGCTACAACCACCAAACTTTCCTCAAACATTGCCTAGGTATTCATTTGAAGCTATGCCAAGTTTCACGTTCGTAGCTCATCAGGTTTCGGAGATATTTTACAAAACGTAAAGGGGGGGGGCAACTTTATGCCCCCCCCCCCCCCCAGCGGCTCGTGGGTTAATCCCATGCTAGGCTAAATGAGAAAATCACTTAAAGAAGAGTGAATTCAGTAACATTTTGCAATAAAAGCATTGATTTATTAAGGCATGTTTTACTTGCTGTATGCATAGAGTACAGAACTACAGAGGTTGCAATGTTTAAAGTTGGCTGTATTGGCAGTTGTCATCGATGTAAGTTGTATTAATATTTATTCGGGTTTATTAAAAATAGATTTGTTACATTGCTTTTATTCTTTCAGGAGCCCCCACTGGACCTTCCCTCACACAATGATGCCACCTGTAAGTACCTACAAAATCAGCGTGATCTGGATAAAATTTGTTTTGCATTTTTCAATGGTCACCAAAATTTTCTGAAAAAAACAATATTTTCTTTTTATTCAAATTCATTGCGAGAGGCGAGACCAATTAGATATACCTAGATACCAAATATGTGTTTTATTATTTAAATTCACCAATCTGTCCTGCGCATTGCCTGTCTGGAGTGAGCTGCGCTGACGCTGTTTGTTTGTGCTGCCAGACGGACGCGGCGCCGCAGACCAAGGTGTTTGTCGGCCGGCTGTCGTCGGCCACCAAGTCGCTCGACCTGCGCAAACTGTTCGAGCGCTATGGCGAGGTCACCGAGTGTGACGTGCTCGGCACCTACGGCTTCGTGCACATGAAGTCGGTGGACCAGGCCGAGACGGCCATCCAGAAACTGAACGGCACAGACCTGCACGGCTCGCGCATCAGCGTCGAGCCCTCCACCGGCCAGCGGGGCCGCGGCGGCGGCCGCGGCCGTGGCGGTGGACCGATGCGCGGCCGCGGAATGGGCGGCTTCCGCGGCCGCGGCTCGGACCGGTTCGAGCCATACGGCCGCTCCTACCCGCCGGCTTCGGACGGGTGCGTCAGCTCGTTTCTCTTTTCTAGCTTCCAAATAGATGATCCTTTTCATTTCTTGGGTTTTATGCCTTTGCCATCCAGTTTGCTATCAGTATTAAAGGGACCCTCCCACCTTAACATTAGTTTTGAGTTGAGATAGCCAAGTTTGCGGCCAGGCTCAGAAACCACCATTTATCCTGGTCGCAACCCCCGCAGCTTTATGGTGCTCAAGAAATTTCTTCCCTTTACTTGCAGGGTGGGACCAGCGTGGTCCCTATCTCTTAACCATTACGGGAATCTGATGACGTCATCAGGCTTTCGAACGTCCGTTAAATGTTTGACTAAAACGTTTTGTAGCACGCGGTGGTATATGCTGCTTTGCGCGCAACAAATGCCGCACTTTCAAATAAAGTCGCTAGGAACAGCGGAGATCCCAAAAAGTAAACAAAAGTAAAAGTCTAATATCTTGAAAACCGGTGAATATTTTTCGATGAAATTTGGTAGATATTCGTTTTTGCTCTTTCTGAACCGAGCGACATCACTTTCATGCCAATTCATTAACTTTTTTGAAGGTGGGAGGGTCCCTTTAATATTTAAGTTTAGTTTTATGAGTTTTAATGCAAGCATTTGTTAGATGGTGTCCGCCTTTCCTGCCGTCTGCCCATATTGCACGTTCATATTCCTGCTCTGCTTTGCAGCTATGGCGGTGGCGGCTACGGAGGTGGATATGGCGGCGGCGGCGGCGGTGGTGGTGGCGGCGGCTACGGTGATGGCTACAACGCCGGCTACAATGGCTACGGTGGCGGCGGCGGCGGCGGCGGTGGTGGCGGCTACGGGAACGGGTACGCCATGGACCGCCGGCCGCCACCAGTGCGCACCGCCGTCGGCGGCTACTACGACGACTACGAGCGGCGCGACCCGTACGCCCGCTCACCGGCGCCGGCGCCCGCTCCGGCGCCGCGGCCAGCGCCCTACGACGGCTACGACCGGCGGCCGCCGCCGCGCGACCCGTACGCCGGCGCCGGCTACGACGCGCGCGGCGCGCCCGGCGGCTACGAGCGCCGCGACGACTACGGCGACGCTTACGGCCGGCGCTCTCCGCCGCGCTACCAGGCCGAGCCGGCGCCCAGCCGCGGCTACGACGGCTACGACCGGTACGCGGCGGCGCCGGCGCCGCGCGGAGCCAGCCCTCCCAGACGGTGAGTACCGCACGGGCTGACGGCGAGGGGTGGAGGGGGGAGGGATGGGGTGGGTGACCGGCGCTGGCGTGGGTCTGACGGTCTGATCACCGAACCGGTCGTATCGCGTCGGGTCCGGTCGGGTCGCCAACGCGGGGCAGCTGGCGTCCTGGCGTGCTTTGAAGTCGCCGCCGAGCGACTACGAACCGGGACGGGACTCTCGCAACTGTGTGGGCCCTGATACGTCTGCGACACTCACGACTGCTTTCACAGACTTGGCGAGGACGTAACGTCATATCGGAATCGTGCGCACTTGGCATGTTGCTTCTTCAGGTGAAGGGGGTAAAGGCGCTCACGGTAAACAGTGGGGTGTTGCCGAGATCTTTATGCGATTGGCGGAGTATTCTGTGATGAACTTACGCCTACGTTCGCAGGTTTACCATGGAGACTGATGGTTTAGCTCATATCTGATGGTCAAAGTTGCGTGATTTCTGATCTGGCTTGTGCCCGAGAAGTGTGACGTTGGTGACCAGACAAACGCCTTGTCATATATAACCTTTTCCTACCGCCGCTTCTAATCCACAACATCCTGAGTTTGGCTGATTCAGAGCTGTTTTTAAAATGTCTGGGTTCCAAATTGGACATTGGTCATGAAAATGGTCCAACAGATCGGACTTAAACGGGCTGTATTCTCACAAGGTATGAAACATTGCGTGCGTAAAAATGAAGATGCCGACTTCGTAAGTTATCATCAGCCATCGCCTCCGCACCGTTCAAATTTCCTAATCCCCACGCGATCCTGTTCCCGCAAGTACGATGCGCCTCTGACTGAACGTGGTCCTAGAACACGGAGGAGATGACGACCATGACGAGCGGCCATTGCGCTCGGGTCGGCGCGGCGCGGCTGGCTGCCAGCCCGGCCTGAGACTGGTGTCTGTGTGTTCTAGCTACGCGCCGCAGCACCGCGAGCTCACCGCAGTGCGCAGGTACTAGGCGGCCGCCGGCGGCGAGCGGCGCGCTCCGGCGTCACTTGGACGCGAGCACCGCCTCAGTACGGCGACGGGAGACGACTGCACGGGAGAGAAGACGGCGGAGACACGGCGGCCACGCCCGTCCAGGAGCAAACCCGCGCGCCACGCGGTGTCCTGATTGGCTTCGTACTAGATTTTAGCTCCATGTGTACCCGGTTTCATGTGTTGGGGCGCGGCGGTGCCGTCCCACAATAAAGCACACATACACATCCAGACGGGCGTGTGTTGGGCGTTCCAAGGGAGGGCGAGCTGAGAACGAGCGGAGAACGGTCTCTCGGGCGGCGGAGAACGTAGCACGGCAACCGGCGGGCTCCGATTTTCGCCTCTCGCTGGGAGCGGGTGTGTGACGGGTTGATGGCTGGCGGGGTGGGTGGGATCGGGGCTGAATGTCGTATGCGTGACTGGGGCGCACCCGAGCTGGTGGCGTGTGACGAGGCAGCGGAGAGTGGTGTCGGCAGCCAGCGATCGTCAGCGAGCGGAGGACGTTCGTCGTGCGATCACAGTCGGCGGAAGCGACGGCCCGAGGTGAGCTCTAGCACAGTAAGGCCAGGCGGGCGGCGCCGAGCCACAGTGACCGTTTGCCCGTCTTCAGCGAACGCGACGCGCGCCGACGGTGCTCGGCGCACGTTGGGAACAGGAGCGTGTGGCGCGTGGGGTCCTCCGGCACTGGCAGGGCGAGTGCGAGCGAGTCACCGCGTGCGAGTGCTCCGTGCCGTCTGCTGTGGGGCTACTGCCTACCATCGTCTGCGTGTCTGCCCGGGTGACACCGCCACCTCCCTGCGCTGCACTACCCCAGTCGGATGCGTTCCGTACATCGGTGTTTGTGTGTCTGCATGAAAATTTCGGGTGGTCATATCTGCTGGCGTCTGCAGACGACCTGGACAGGCTTTCACAGATTTGCAAATTATATTTGTCTGAGTATGTAATCGCATTCAAATGGACCTCATGTCATTTGCGTTTACTTTTATGACATTGATGATTTATATTTATCTTGTTCGACCTAATACATCTGAATTTTTAAATTTCATCTAGCATCACTCATGTAACTGAAATTTTGCCGTCATTTAGTATTTACTTGCTCTTTAGTAGTGTTCCAGCTTTTATTAACATCGCAAATTGAACTTTGAAAACACTGACGTGACATACGCTGTACTACCGTAACTGGACCTCTGTCCTCTCATCTGTCCGTCCTACTGGGGCCCAGCGGTCGGCTGTAATTGTGCCGTGTGTCTCCCCGCCCCGGCAGCTAGCTGACGCACCCCTGTCACTCCAGGAGCCTGCACTACCTGACGTGATCGGCCGACTGCCGACGATAACGGCCGCCCACGCCGCGTCGGGTGAGTTGGCGGGGCCCGCCCTCCGGGCCCTTCCCAGCGTCACGGCCAGTTCTGGCTCTTAAGGCTGTATCATAGAAGTAGTGTTGCTGCCTTGCTATTTTTGCTACGCGGGAATATTGTTTTACGGTATCATTATCCGTGTTGAATTCTTCATTATCATTATTCTTCGTTGTGAAATGATTTAATTTTTTTTGTTCTGATTTCTGAAACTTTTACCGAAATGATTCACATTGCCGAGAAGAGCATGAATTTACATTTTACGAATTTCGGTTTGCTGCTCACTTATTAACCCGCGCCGGGCCGGTGCTCTGAAATTCCGCGCCGGGCCGCGGGGGGGTGTTTGAACACCCCCCCCCCTTCTAACTCGGCTCCTGGGCCACGTAGCGACACGCGGTAAGCGGCAATCGAAAGAACGTCCAAAATAAGGACGAAAACACTTCGGTCATTTTTGGGTCAGGTCAAAGGTCAGGTCACCAGAGGTCACCAAAGGTCAAATGTTCACTATTTCAACATTTTGGAAACTGCCAACGGCTATCTCGGGAACCGATAGAGCTACAGCGCCGCAAAAAAGCGCATTCGATAGCCCTTTTACAGACTCTGAATTTTCTGAGTAATGTTCTCAGATTTGACCTCAGGTCAACGGTTTAGCCTCCAGAAGGCAAAAACTCCAAAAATAGCCGTTTTTACGAAAAACGTTTTTTCGGCAATAACTTTTGACTCAAAAGAGCTATGACATTACTTTTGCCAGCATCGTGTTCCTCTCGTCGAGACGCGTCGAATGAACTATAATTTGACCTTGAAAGGTCAACTTGAAAATTTGACCTCAGGTCAAGATCATGACCTGACCGGAAAAGGTCATGTTGCATATCAGTCGATCCGCAACGTCGAGCCGAACACTTCTAAGGCGTTTTCAGCGCTCTAGCACGCCTCTATCAGAAGTTATCATCGAAAAACTGTTAGATTCTGTTCGTGACCTGAGATGACCTCGGGGACATAACGAGGGGTCACAGTTGCCATTTTCTGGTTCAGTGTGTCTATTTTACCTACATCTCGATGTTTGAGAGTGTCTAGAATAGCGTTCGTGCAAAACAGGCGCTTTTCAATTTTCTCCCATTGACTTATAATGGAGAGGCCGCAAAATTGACCTGACCTTAGGTCAACGATATCAAAATTCCGAGATACACATTTTATAGATAGTGTTGCTCTAATCAATCGCTGAAAGTTTCAAGGCAATCGTTCAGTCGGTGTAGCTATGACGAGCATTCTTATTTTTTCTGAGGTGAGGTCACTTGGCGTGACCTGGTGACCTGACCTAAGGTGACCTGGGTCTGAAATTTTCACAACATGTGCGGAAAAGATGCACGAACAGGTGTGCCAAAAACGATATCTGCGAGATATCTGCGAAAAACCGCAAGGGGGGGGGTGTTCAAACACCCCCCCCCCCGGCCCGGCGCGGGTTAAGATCGGTTTTCTATGTTCTATCGACTGTCCTCGTTTGTTGTCACGCTCTTCGGGTATGTGAATTAATATTTGTTTATGAATGTGTCTGTTGGCCATCCGGATGGTGCTTTCGTCTGTAGATGCTGTAACCGAGTGGAGTTGTTCCTTATATACCTTGTGTTTCGAGTTGTGCTCGCCCATGACCCGATATGCGTTGTCCCGTTGCCGCCATTGCTGACCCGTTGCTCCCCTGTTGCAGGCGGCCACGCTGTGACTGATACTCGGGGAGGGAGCCGCGGCAGCCGCCGGAGTCGCCGCAATCGGCCCGCCCGCCTTCCCGGCCCACTAATGTGTGTTTGTGCATCCCGCGACAGAAATCGATGTTCATCGTCATTTGGGTGTGGTTTTTACTTTTTAGTGCGCGTGACGAGCGGTGTGCGCCGTGAATTCGGGTCCCGGCAATACAAAGTGTCGCCTGCCGGTGGCCGTAAGCGGGGGTCGGTCGCTGAGGGTGGGGGAGGGAAGGAAGGGGCTGTGTATGTGTGTGAGAGCTGTGTCGGCGCGGCTGTGCGGCCGGCCAACCATTCCCATCGGCCGGGCGCGAGCTGTTCGTTCTGTCTGCGGCGCTGGTACTCGGCGGGCTCCGGCGCCGCCCCAAATACAGAGCCCATTCATCGCTGTTGGCCCGTGTGTTTGCTGCGAGGGGCGGTAGCCGGGGCGACTGCGGAGTCCACCTCCCCGGCGGGAGTCCGGCACTGGTGGCAGAGCGGCGGGGACAGACGGCGTGTCGTGGGTCGGCTGACGGGGCGTCTCATTTGACCTGGAGCTCTCTGCGCAGTGCTGGTCTCAATCGAACTAGATCTCGGTAATATTGCAGGGCGCTGCTGCTTTTTACTCGTCTATGGACGATATTTTAGTTTTTTGTATGCTTTTTTGCTTTGAAATGGTTAATTGGCGAGACGCGGAAAACTGTTTCATTAGCGATGTCTTTGGTAGTAATGTTACCAAATGTGATGACCGAATCTGAAACAACGTAGTAGTAAGACGATCTCGCAGCGATATACTCAGTACGCGAAGATAACGCTGTATGCGCCGTACCGTCCAGAGTAATTAGAGGCTCAGAAGGCGCTGGACAGAGGTCTCAGCCGCCTCTGATGCCGGGTGCAGTACTGAGGAGAGACTGTCCTTGCTGAGAGTTTGCGCATTGCTCATTGGTTTTCGATGCCCATTACATCTCTTCCCATCTCTGTCTGGGTTAATTTATGTTCCGTCGCGGCCGTATAACGCCCTGTTGGCTGATGTGCGAGGGCGAGTGTATATCGGACTGTATCGTGGTTCCTGTCCAGGCCAGCGCCAAACTGTAAGGGAACACGACCGTTTGAATGAAAGGCTCGTATTTTGGAGCCAACGGGCGCGACACGGTGTTATGCATGGTGGGGCAGCGAGGCCTACGTCATTTGGGCATTGTTATCCTCAGTCTCCAAATTTTACGTGGAGGTACATTACCATATGTTGTATTCATGAAAAATACATTTTTTGTGTAGTTGTAATGGTTTGCAAGCAATGCACTAAAATGTTTGATGGACATCTACTCGGAAATGCACAGAATTTTGTTGGATTTTTTTTTTTTTTTTTAGCTACTGCGCGGACATACTTACCTGAGGAGAGCCTGCCTATTTTATTCAATGCTGCGCTCTGGGAACCGAAAATCATCTGCCTCCTAGGAAAGCCCAACCCAGAAGTACAAGCACGGCCGAAATCGCTCCTGGCGGCAGGCCGACTACCACAAGGAAGGAAGGAAGGAAGAAACTTTGTTCGACATTCCTACATATTTCAGCATTCGATGGGGATATAAATTGCCTTGCTCATCCATTTCCCGAGAAAAGCGAAATATGAAAACATAAGATTGTGAAGATGTTATGAAATTGGAAGCTACCAGGGAGCCTCGGATAACGCATGGAGATGTTACAGAAAAGGCCATTTCTTCCATGCCTGAATTGCCACAGGGGTTCGGACCTGGATGTAACGGAAGTTGGCACAGATTCAGCACAGATTCAGCACAGCACAGATTCGGTAGGGGGAAAAAAGGCCCCGGTAGAGGGAAACCTTTATGACCCGTTTTCCCCTAGAAATGACGTCACAAACAGGTAAAAATGGGTATCAATCGAAAGCTCTCGTTTACCCAGACACAGTCCTGCAGGAAAATTTCACTTTTTCCCCATAGGAAAGTTTGTACGGGAAAATCAAAATTTTGGGTCAATGGGGGGTCCCCCCCGATTTCGTTCAAAATCGGCACACAGGTGCCCCACCACCAGCCGAGAAACTTTCCCCAAAACGGTCCCCGTTGCATTGACGTTTAAGGCCCGTAAAGCCCCCTAGACTCGTAAAAAATCCGTAAATTCGCCCTTGTACGGCCAAAAACGGGGCGCTAGGGTAAAAATGGGTATCAATCGAAAGCTCTCGTTTACCCAGACACAGTCCTGCAGGAAAATTTCACTTTTTCCCCATAGGACAGTTTTTACGGGAAAATCAAAATTTTGGGTCAATGGGGGGTCCCCCCCGATTTCGTTCAAAATCGGCACACAGGTGCCCCACCACCAGCCGAGAAACTTTCCCCAAAACGGTCCCCGTTGCATTGACGTTTAAGGCCCGTAAAGCCCCCTAGACTCGTAAAAAATCCGTAAATTCGCCCTTGTACGGCCAAAAACGGGGCGCTAGGGTAAAAATGGGTGTCAATCGAAAGCTCTCGTTTACCCAGACACAGTCCTGCAGGAAAATTTCACTTTTTCCCCATAGGAAAGTTTTTACGGGAAAATCAAAATTTTGGCTCAATGGGGGGTCCCCCCCGATTTCGTTCAAAATCAGCACACAGGTGCCCTACCACCAGCCGAGAAACTTTCCCCAAAACGGTCCCCGTTGCATTGACGTTTAAGGCCCGTAAAGCCCCCTAGACTCGTAAAAAATCCGTAAATTCGCCCTTGTACGGCCAAAAACGGGGCGCTAGGGTAAAAATGGGTATCAATCGAAAGCTCTCGTTTACCCAGACACAGTCCTGCAGGAAAATTTCACTTTTTCCCCATAGGACAGTTTTTACGGGAAAATCAAAATTTTGGGTCAATGGGGGGTCCCCCCCGATTTCGTTCAAAATCGGCACACAGGTGCCCCACCACCAGCCGAGAAACTTTCCCCAAAACGGTCCCCGTTGCATTGACGTTTAAGGCCCGTAAAGCCCCCTAGACTCGTAAAAAATCCGTAAATTCGCCCTTGTACGGCCAAAAACGGGGCGCTAGGGTAGAAATGGGTATCAATCGAAAGCTCTCGTTTACCCAGACACAGTCCTGCAGAAAAAAATTTCACTTTTTCCCCATAGGAAAGTTTTTACGGGAAAATCAAAATTTTGGGTCAATGGGGTCCCCCCCCCCGATTTCGTTCAAAATCGGCACACAGGTGCCCCACCACCAGCCGAGAAACTTTCCCCAAAACGGTCCCCGTTGCATTGACGTTTAAGGCCCGTAAAGCCCCCTAGACTCGTAAAAAATCCGTAAATTCGCCCTTGTACGGCCAAAAACGGGGCGCTAGGGTAAAAATGGGTATCAAACGAAAGCTCTCGTTTACCCAGACACAGCTGTGCAGGAAAATTTCACTTTTTCCCCATAGGACAGTTTTTACGGGAAAATCAAAATTTTGGGTCAATGGGGGGTCCCCCCCGATTTCGTTCAAAATCGGCACACAGGTGCCCCACCACCAGCCGAGAAACTTTCCCCAAAACGGTCCCCGTTGCATTGACGTTTAAGGCCCGTAAAGCCCCCTAGACTCGTAAAAAATCCGTAAATTCGCCCTTGTACGGCCAAAAACGGGGCGCTAGGGTAGAAATGGGTATCAATCGAAAGCTCTCGTTTACCCAGACACAGTCCTGCAGAAAAAATTTCACTTTTTCCCCATAGGAAAGTTTTTACGGGAAAATCAAAATTTTGGGTCAATGGGGGTCCCCCCCCCCGATTTCGTTCAAAATCGGCACACAGGTGCCCCACCACCAGCCGAGAAACTTTCCCCAAAACGGTCCCCGTTGCATTGACGTTTAAGGCCCGTAAAGCCCCCTAGACTCGTAAAAAATCCGTAAATTCGCCCTTGTACGGCCAAAAACGGGGCGCTAGGGTAAAAATGGGTATCAAACGAAAGCTCTCGTTTACCCAGACACAGCTGTGCAGAAAATTTCACTTTTTCCCCATAGGAAAGTTTTTACGGGAAAATCAAAATTTTGGGTCAATGGGGGGTCCCCCCCGATTTCGTTCAAAATCGGCACACAGGTGCCCCACCACCAGCCGAGAAACTTTCCCCAAAACGGTCCCCGTTGCATTGACGTTTAAGGCCCTTAAAGCCCCGTAAACTCGTACAAAATCCGTAAATTCGCCCTTGTACGGCCAAAAACGGGGCGCTAGGGTAAAAATGGGTATCAATCGAAAGCTCTCGTTTACCCAGACACAGTCCTGCAGGAAAATTTCACTTTTTCCCCATAGGAAAGTTTTTACGGGAAAATCAAAATTTTGGTTCAATGGGGGGTCCCCCCCGATTTCGTTCAAAATCGGCACACAGGTGCCCCACCACCAGCCGAGAAACTTTCCCCAAAACGGTCCCCGTTGCATTGACGTTTAAGGCCCTTAAAGCCCCGAAAGTTTCTCGGCTGGTGGTGGGGCACCTGTGTGCCGATTTTGAACGAAATCGGGGGGGGACCCCCCATTGACCCAAAATTTTGATTTTCCCGTAAAAACTTTCCTATGGGGAAAAAGTGAAATTTTCCTGCACAGCTGTGTCTGGGTAAACGAGAGCTTTCGTTTGATACCCATTTTTACCCTAGCACCCCGTTTTTGGCCGTACAAGGGCGAATTTACGGATTTTTTACGAGTTTACGGGGCTTTAAGGGCCTTAAACGTCAATGCAACGGGGACCGTTTTGGGGAAAGTTTCTCGGCTGGTGGTGGGGCACCTGTGTTCCGATTTTGAACGAAATCGGGGGGGGGACCCCCCATTGACCCAAAATTTTGATTTTCCCGTAAAAACTTTCCTATGGGGAAAAAGTGAAATTTTCCTGCACAGCTGTGTCTGGGTAAACGAGAGCTTTCGTTTGATACCCATTTTTACCCTAGCGCCCCGTTTTTGGCCGTACAAGGGCGAATTTACGGATTTTTTACGAGTCTAGGGGGCTTTACGGGCCTTAAACGTCAATGCAACGGGGACCGTTTTGGGGAAAGTTTCTCGGCTGGTGGTGGGGCACCTGTGTGCCGATTTTGAACGAAATCGGGGGGGACCCCCATTGACCCAAAATTTTGATTTTCCCGTAAAAACTTTCCTATGGGGAAAAAGTGAAATTTTCCTCCAGGACTGTGTCTGGGTAAACGAGAGCTTTCGATTGATACCCATTTTTACCCTAGCGCCCCGTTTTTGGCCGTACAAGGGCGAATTTACGGATTTTTTACGAGTCTAGGGGGCTTTACGGGCCTTAAAGGGACAGTATCACCATTTTGATGAAATTTGACATTGCATAGGCCCCACCTTTCTGGTCCGGGAACTGAAGACCGATCCTCGAAGCTCCACACCGTTATCCCGCTATCGCCGCTCAAAGTACGAAAGGTGTACCACACTTTGAATCGTGCTTCACTATCTTCACTGTTTAAATGTTTGCGCCGTTTTGAATTGACCGCCAGTAATAAAACTTTTACCCTGGTCATTTCATCAAATTTTATAAAGCCAAAACGTTTTTCGCACTTATTCATCACCGTTAAATTCATTAAATAGTCGTAGGCAATTTCCGCTGTTTCCTTCGGATTCTAGCGGCTCAACAAAGGAATTCCTCCAGCTTGAATCACAATCTCCCTCCAATGTATGACGTTTATCACGTGATTGTCACGTGATATTTTCTCCCATTGTCAATTGTCACGTCCAATTGTCACTCCCTCCAATTGTCACGTTATATTTTTATAGGCAATACCTAAGGCTACCTCTCCCTAAGGACAACTCAATCAGAAGAACGACCGCGTAAGCGTAGCGTCAATAATGTATTATCTGCGCCAGTTCTGTAGTAATTTTGCATGCTTCCAAACTGGCGGCCATGCTTGTATAGTGGTGGTTCGCTCATGAAAATGAATCATGAAAATGAAATGTGGTTGCAATATTTTCCACCGAGTTCGGTCCTCAAACTATGTTTTTCTGATTCAGAAAAATAAGAAATGCTAGTAAAAAAAAAAATCAGCTCCATACATGGATTTTTTTTTCGATGATACTGTCCCTTTAAACGTCAATGCAACGGGGACCGTTTTGGGGAAAGTTTCTCGGCTGGTGGTGGGGCACCTGTGTGCTGATTTTGAACGAAATTGGGGGGGGACCCCCCATTGACCCAAAATTTTGATTTTCCCGTAAAAACTGTCCTATGGGGAAAAAGTGAAATTTTCCTGCAGGACTGTGTCTGGGTAAACAAGAGCTTTCAATTGATACCCATTTTTACCCTAGCGCCCCGTTTTTGGCCGTACAAGGGCGAATTTACGGATTTTTTACGAGTCTAGGGGGCTTTACGGGCCTTAAACGTCAATGCAACGGGGACCGTTTTGGGGAAAGTTTCTCGGCTGGTGGTGGGGCACCTGTGTGCCGATTATGAACGAAATCGGGGGGACCCCCCATTGAGCCAAAATTTTGATTTTCCCGTAAAAACTTTCCTATGGGGAAAAAGTGAAATTTTCCTGCAGGACTGTGTCTGGGTAAACGAGAGCTTTCGATTGACACCCATTTTTACCCTAGCGCCCCGTTTTTGCCCGTACAAGGGCGAATTTACGGATTTTTTACGAGTCTAGGGGGCTTTACGGGCCTTAAACGTCAATGCAACGGGGACCGTTTTGGGGAAAGTTTCTCGGCTGGTGGTGGGGCACCTGTGTGCCGATTTTGAACGAAATCGGGGGGGACCCCCCATTGACCCAAAATTTTGATTTTCCTGTCAAAACTTTCCTATGGGGAAAAAGTGAAATTTTTCTGCAGGACTGTGTCTGGGTAAACGAGAGCTTTCGATTGATACCCATTTTTACCCTAGCGCCCCGTTTTTGGCCGTACAAGGGCGAATTTACGGATTTTTTACGAGTCTAGGGGGCTTTACGGGCCTTAAACGTCAATGCAACGGGGACCGTTTTGGGGAAAGTTTCTCGGCTGGTGGTGGGGCACCTGTGTGCCGATTTTGAACGAAATCGGGGGGGACCCCCCATTGACCCAAAATTTTGATTTTCCCGTACAAACTTTCCTATGGGGAAAAAGTGAAATTTTCCTAAAGGACTGTGTCTGGGTAAACGAGAGCTTTCGATTGATACCCATTTTTACCCTAGCGCCCCGTTTTTGGCCGTACAAGGGCGAATTTACGGATTTTTTACGAGTCTAGGGGGCTTTACGGGCCTTAAACGTCAATGCAACGGGGACCGTTTTGGGGAAAGTTTCTCGGCTGGTGGTGGGGCACCTGTGTGCCGATTTTGAACGAAATCGGGGGGGACCCCCCATTGACCCAATATTTTGATTTTCCCGTAAAAACTGTCCTATGGGGAAAAAGTGAAATTTTCCTGCAGGACTGTGTCTGGGTAAACGAGAGCTTTCGATTGATACCCATTTTTACCCTAGCGCCCCGTTTTTGGCCGTACAAGGGCGAATTTACGGATTTTTTACGAGTCTAGGGGGCTTTACGGGCCTTAAACGTCAATGCAACGGGGACCGTTTTGGGGAAAGTTTCTCGGCTGGTGGTGGGGCACCTGTGTGCCGATTTTGAACGAAATCGGGGGGGACCCCCCATTGAGCCAAAATTTTGATTTTCCCGTACAAACTTTCCTATGGGGAAAAAGTGAAATTTTCCTGCAGGACTGTGTCTGGGTAAACGAGAGCTTTCGATTGACACCCATTTTTACCCTAGCGCCCCGTTTTTGGCCGTACAAGGGCGAATTTACGGATTTTTTACGAGTCTAGGGGGCTTTACGGGCCTTAAACGTCAATGCAACGGGGACCGTTTTGGGGAAAGTTTCTCGGCTGGTGGTGGGGCACCTGTGTGCCGATTTTGAACGAAATCGGGGGGGACCCCCCATTGACCCAAAATTTTGATTTTCCCGTAAAAACTGTCCTATGGGGAAAAAGTGAAATTTTCCTGCAGGACTGTGTCTGGGTAAACGAGAGCTTTCGATTGATACCCATTTTTACCCTAGCGCCCCGTTTTTGGCCGTACAAGGGCGAATTTACGGATTTTTTACGAGTCTAGGGGGCTTTACGGGCCTTAAACGTCAATGCAACGGGGACCGTTTTGGGGAAAGTTTCTCGGCTGGTGGTGGGGCACCTGTGTGCCGATTTTGAACGAAATCGGGGTGGACCCCTCATTGAGCCAAAATTTTGATTTTCCCGTAAAAACTTTCCTATGGGGAAAAAGTGAAATTTTCCTGCAGGACTGTGTCTGGGTAAACGAGAGCTTTCGATTGACACCCATTTTTACCCTAGCGCCCCGTTTTTGGCCGTACAAGGGCGAATTTACGGATTTTTTACGAGTCTAGGGGGCTTTACGGGCCTTAAACGTCAATGCAACGGGGACCGTTTTGGGGAAAGTTTCTCGGCTGGTGGTGGGGCACCTGTGTGCCGATTTAGAACGAAATCGGGGGGGACCCCCCATTGACCCAAAATTTTGATTTTCCCGTAAAAACTGTCCTATGGGGAAAAAGTGAAATTTTCCTGCAGGACTGTGTCTGGGTAAACGAGAGCTTTCGATTGATACCCATTTTTACCCTAGCGCCCCGTTTTTGGCCGTACAAGGGCGAATTTACGGATTTTTTACGAGTCTAGGGGGCTTTACGGGCCTTAAACGTCAATGCAATGGGGACCGTTTTGGGGAAAGTTTCTCGGCTGGTGGTGGGGCACCTGTGTGCCGATTTTGAACGAAATCGGGGGGGACCCCCCATTGACCCAAAATTTTGATTTTCCCGTACAAACTTTCCTATGGGGAAAAAGTGAAATTTTCCTGCAGGGCTGTGTCTGGGTAAACGAGAGCTTTCGATTGATACCCATTTTTACCCTAGCGCCCCGTTTTTGGCCGTACAAGGGCGAATTTACGGATTTTTTACGAGTCTAGGGGGCTTTACGGGCCTTAAACGTCAATGCAACGGGGACCGTTTTGGGGAAAGTTTCTCGGCTGGTGGTGGGGCACCTGTGTGCCGATTTTGAACGAAATCGGGGGGGGACCCCCCATTGACCCAAAATTTTGATTTTCCCGTAAAAACTTTCCTATGGGGAAAAAGTGAAATTTTTCTGCAGGACTGTGTCTGGGTAAACGAGAGCTTTCGATTGATACCCATTTTTACCCTAGGGCCGTAGAAGGGCGAATTTACGGATTTTTTACGAGTCTAGGGGGCTTTACGGGCCTTAAACGTCAATGCAACGGGACCGTTTTGGGGAAAGTTTCTCGGCTGGTGGTGGGGCACCTGTGTGCCGATTTTGAACGAAATCGGGGGGGACCCCCCATTGACCCAAAATTTTGATTTTCCCGTAAAAACTGTCCTATGGGGAAAAAGTGAAATTTTCCTGCAGGACTGTGTCTGGGTAAACGAGAGCTTTCGATTGATACCCATTTTTACCCTAGCGCCCCGTTTTTGGCCGTACAAGGGCGAATTTACGGATTTTTTACTAGTCTAGGGGGCTTTACGGGCCTTAAACGTCAATGCAACGGGGACCGTTTTGGGGAAAGTTTCTCGGCTGGTGGTGGGGCACCTGTGTGCCGATTTTGAACGAAATCGGGGGGACCCCCCATTGAGCCAAAATTTTGATTTTCCCGTAAAAACTTTCCTATGGGGAAAAAGTGAAATTTTCCTGCAGGACTGTGTCTGGGTAAACGAGAGCTTTCGATTGATACCCATTTTTACCCTAGCGCCCCGTTTTTGGCCGTACAAGGGCGAATTTACGGATTTTTTACGAGTCTAGGGGGCTTTACGGGCCTTAAACGTCAATGCAACGGGGACCGTTTTGGGGAAAGTTTCTCGGCTGGTGGTGGGGCACCTGTGTGCCGATTTTGAACGAAATCGGGGGGGACCCCCAATTGACCCAAAATTTTGATTTTCCCGTACAAACTTTCCTATGGGGAAAAAGTGAAATTTTCCTGCAGGACTGTGTCTGGGTAAACGAGAGCTTTCGATTGATGCCCATTTTTACCTGTTTGTGACGTCATTTCTAGGGGAAAACGGGTCATAAAGGTTTCCCTCTACCGGGGCCTTTTTTCCCCCTACCGAATCTGTGCTGTGCTGAATCTGTGCTGAATCTGTGCCAACTTCCGTTACATTCGGACCTGGTGAGATCTGGCGTGACTGCAGTAGCAGTGTCGTGAAGTGACTGCCGAATTGTATATCAACTATTGTTCTGCGATTTTTTTTTTTCGTATTGCATACTCTACTCTATCGCCTTTGGCCAAAATACACTCATTTACTGAGTGCTTCAGCATGCGACCGTACGTCCATTAAATTGATGGCCTTGTACCTTTCGAAGTCTGATTTTGCTCATTTATAAAGAAGCATCATAGCTAAACATTTTAGGGTTCACGTTGATTCATTGAAAGTAATTTTCTGTTTTTTGGCTGTCCTAATGAAAACAGGAGACTGAATTAGTCAATATTTGCTTTTTTGTTGGCACGTCTGCCTGCGCCATCTTAGATTTGACTCACGTGCGTCATATATGTCGAAATAAACTCGCTTTGTTCATTTTGTAAACCTCCATTCATTTATATACGGAGTTTATAACCGTGTCCGTCGTTTAGTACAATATTTCTGTTGAATTTAGGTAAAGGTATGCTCTTTTTTACTTATTTTTATGGAATTATATTTATTATAAATGTTTAACATGTATTGTAATTTTGAATCTGATAAATGGTAGTGTATCTTAAAGACACTGTCTTTAAACTATCAATTCAAATAAATTAGATTTTACTCAAAGAATGAATGGGAAATTCATTGATTTAAAAGGGATGATGCTTAAAAATAAGATTGATAATTATTTTCCTGTTTGCATGTGCCTAGAAGCTTTTAACTTCTATCCCTGAATCATAATTGTAATGAGAATGGAGCAGACGTAATTCAGAAATGTGGTTTTTTTAATAATATTAATGGTATAACTTAGGTTTTTTATATCTCTTGTTTAAACAGTCATTGTTTTTTACATTTGTTTGCAATTTTGTTGAATATTGTTATTTGTAAGCTTTGATTACCCGTTGTTACCTTTTGGCAACATCAGGTAAGCACTTCCATCATTTTTTAACAACTTTGCTAATCACTTCTATCAGTTTTGCCCTACAAAAGATTCACTCAATTGCGTCATGTATCCAGCACCAGCTATGCATAAAAGGAGGGTTGAAAGAACACTTAAATGTGGCAGAATTTGGACAGCATTGTGGATGCATATTGCGTTGTTCATAGAGTATTTGGTAGGGAACTAGGTTGTGGGTTACTGGTTTGCAGGTTTTTGTAGCAAGTCAAGTTTAAGGCCAGCAACATAGTTTCTTTAGGTACAAAGAAATTACATTTTGAATAGTTTATGTTCTACATTTATCAGGAAAGATGTTCTCAATCGTACCCTTGCTGATCCTGGCAGAGTTCCATGAACAGTGGGTGTGTCTGAGCAGTCTTTCTTTGCCCTATCCTCCTCTACACATTCACCAAGGTGTATGGGTCTGGGCAGGATCTTGGTAGGTGTTTTGTTGGGATTCCTATGGCAACTTACCCTAGTTTGAGCAGTGTATAGTCAAGTTTGTATCCATGATTTGTGTCAACAATTGCAGCTTTAAATGGATAGGCAAGGCTTCTCATCTGTAGTTCACTGTGCTTAGGAAAATACATTCCCTGCTTTTCCCATGAAACTTGAGACTTTAGACAACAATGACCCTATGAACCTAGTATGGCACACCAGGTGAATGTGATGTGATCTTATTATCATTTGTTCCTTTCACAATGGCTCCCCTTTCCAGTGTAAGGACTGGTGAAAGTGATAAGTCAGCCTTAAGTGAGGACTGCTCACAATAGGTTTGTAATCTCAGAATAAGCACAATGATGCATGTATGAATGTATTTCTGCTCTTTTTCAGATTGTACAATGTATTGGAAGTTTCATGCTGCGCCTTCAGCAAGAGTAGCTGAGCTCCTAAATAAAGAGGTGCGTGATACCAGGCTCTTCTGATTTATTTTTAGCATTATCCTTCAAATAGCTGTTTTCCCTTTAGGTACTGCAGTGATGATGGCTTGTAGGTACTGGCTGAGTTTCTCAAGTATCTGTTCTTAGGCAGCTGTTCAGTTGTATAATAGGATCAACTCCCTCTCATACTCATTTTTTATGTTTTTCATGGTTCATTGATATTTAGTTATGTTTGTGTTGTTGATTTAGTAGATGCCTTCTTCAGGTGCATTAGCTCTGGAACTAAATACAATTGATGGTCAAAAACTGCCCTGGATAATAATGATTTTGTATCATTTTCACTTGATCCCCTCTTTCCTCATTTCAGGATGTCACATTAGAAGAATTGTTGGATGAAGAGGATATCATACAAGAATGCAAAGCTCAAAATAGCAATGTGATAGACTTGTGAGTATGATGCAGATTGTAACGGTAGATTTACATGGGACAGTTAATGTGCTTATCTTCATCACAAGCCTTGCTGAGCTGGACCGGTGTTCAGGGGAGGTTTAGTTTGACCTGGCTTGTGAGCTGAAGCCTGGTCCCAGTATGGTGCAACAGGTGGTGACCTGTGGCCTGTCTACCATCCATTGACACTAGTTGTGACCAGCGTCATGTTCTTAGGTCTATGGCAGCCAGTATTGACCTGCCATCTGTCCCCAAGTTGGGTGCAGCTGCAGGTGTCTTGTGATGTCCCCTATGATATCTAATCTCTGTTCATCTGTATCGACAGCCTGGTGTAGATTTGGTAACCTGTCTGTCCCCTGGTGACCCCCAGTCTGGCGCAGTCAAATGCTGAAAGACCTCTGACTTCTGATAACTGATGCTGATGCTACTCTGATTGCTGATGCTCTGATCTGACCTCTGATCTGAAATGCTGACATGACCTCTGATTACTGACCCGTCCCCTTTGTCCTCAGTCTGGTGCAGCCCGAGGTGATGATGGCCCTCGTGTCTCACATGGTGACCGAGCCGGACCCGACCGGCGACGTGGCCTCCCAGTACCGCTACGCCAACATGGCCTCGGAGATCGTCACGTGCAACGTGCCGGCCATTATCGACCAGCTGGCTGGCGAGCGGCCGCTGCTGCGGCGGCTCTACAGCCTGCTGGAGTGTGAGCCGCCGCTGAACCCGCTGCTGGCCAGCTACTTCAGCCGCACGCTGGCGCTGCTGATCGTACGGCGGCCCGGCCAGGTCAGACACGGGGCCGAGAACACTGCGGGGTGGATCAGAAGGGGGGACGGACGGGTCAGATCGGGAACTCGGCGCTGCTGATCGTACGGCGGCCCGGGCAGGTCAGATACGGGGGAGGGGTCAGGGGCAGACTAGGAACATTGTGCCGCTGATCGTACGGCGGCCCGGCCAGGTCAGACAGGGGCTGGGGGAGGGGGCGGGGCAGAAACGGGTCAGATCAGGGACACCGCAGGGAAGATCAGAGGGAGGAACAGGAACAGAATAGAGGGTTCGGACCGGGAACACTGCACTGTTTATCGTACTGCGGCCCGGACGGGTCAGACACGGGGGAGGGGCGGGACAGAGACGGCACTCCGGGCAATTTGGACACAGGGGACGGGCGGGTCAGATCGGGAACACGGCGCTGGTGATCGCACGGTGGCTCGGGCAGGTCTGACACGGGGAAGGGGCGGGGTAGAAACGGGTGAGACTGGGAATATGACTGGTCTGCTCAGAGGGGAGGAACTGATGACAGGTCGAACTTGAAGACAGGAGCAGACAGGGCAGACCGAAGGCAAGTATGACTAACATATCAGTCCGGAGGGAGGAACAAATTTGACGGCTCCGACCGGGGATCACGACTGGGCACGTCAGTGTCATGGGGAGGGACAGTGGTAACGAATGAGACCAGAATGACGGAGACTACTCTGCTGGAGAGCTGGCTTCTCGTTTGGTTTAACTCGCATGTTTCCTTTCGCGCCTTCTTTATGAGGGAAGGAAATGGTGACTAAGGCACGCAGATCCTCCTCTAATGCCGCTAACGCACCTCCCTCTTGTTCTCTGTTACAGAGCTGGTACTCGTATCAATTCAACTGCCTCCAGGTGTTAGAATTTCTCAAGTCGATGGACACGTTCATTGACCTGGTGCTGCGCCACCTGGGTACGTCGGCAATCATGGACCTCACGTGCAACCTCATCTCGGGCATCGAGGCGCCAGAGTATCGCCAGAACGCGCTCAATGTGAGTATGGCCGGTGGGCGTGGCATGGTGGGTGGTGGGCGTGGTCTGTGACTGGTATGGTAGCCAGTGGGCGTGGCATGGTGGACTGTGGGCGTGGTCTGCGACTTCTTCCGGGTGGCTGGACTGGTGGTCGTGGCTCTATCAGGGCGGTAGACGTCATCAGCTGGGCATGGTTTGGTGGCATTCAGGGTGGGCGTGGTCTGGTGGACGGTGGGCGTGGTCTGCGACAGGTGACTGGTGGGTGTGATTTTTTTTTTTGGGGGGGGGGACTGTAGAGTATAGACGTCGACACCAGGACGTGGGCGTGGTTTGTTGGGATGCACGGTGGGTGTGGTCTGGTGGATGGTGGGCGTGGCCTGGTAGCCAGTGGGCGTGGCCTTGTAACTAGTGGGCGTAGCCGGTGGGCGTGCTTTTGTGAGAGGCAGGGTGGGCGTAGTTTGCTGTCTTATGGTTGTGGTTTTGTTTGCGGTGGGCATAAATTGGTTTAATTGTGGGCGTGGATATGGGCGGTGGGCGTGATATCATCTGGGGTGGGTGCGTCAGGGAGAGTGGTCACTGACCCCCCCACCCCCCTGCCATCCCATCAAAGTCTGTCTGTGCCAGGTCAGACAGGCTTGAGATATGCATTCTTGGTGGAACGGATATAGTCTGGACGGGTAGTGGAGCCATTCCCGTCCCATGTATCATGACCGGCCGCCCCCATCCTTTCCGGTGGGCGTGTCTCCGTGTGTCGCCGCCTGTCCGCCGGTCCCGTGTGGGGTCGGTCGGATGTCCCCGCCGGCATGCGTCCACCGTTTATGGCCTCCCCTGTCGCGCCGTCGTAAAACCAGTGGCGTCGCGCCGGTGGGCGGGTGACGTCACCCGACCGGCGCCGGTCCACCGGGTGACGTCATCCAGTCGGCGCCGGTCCACCATGTGACGTCACCCGATGTCCCTGAATCGCAATCGGGCCGTCGGCCACACGGCCCAGCCGGCTACCGGTGGTCAAAGACGGCTCTCCTTCAGCTACTTGCTATTCATTCTACATACTGAACGCTTTGGCCGAGCCGTGCTGGCATCAGGGCACCACGCTACACGCAGTCATAAACAGGTTGTTTGAACCGTTTGGACGTCATGTCTCGACAAAAAACTTGTTATGCTTTTTTCAACAGGTTTAGTTGCCTTGAAATATCTACCCGTCAGTTTTTCATCGTACGGCAACTGCCATCCTAACGACCGTGACCCTGACGACTATGACCCCAGCAACTGTGACCTCAACCTGACCGTGACCTTAACTACCGTGACCACAGCAACCGTGACCTCAACCACCGTGACCCGAGCTAACATGACCCCAGCAACCGTGATCCCAGCAACCTCAATCCCAGCAACCGTGAGTTAAATACCGTGACACGAGCAACCGTGACCCCAACCACCGTGACCTCACCCCCACCACCATCCGGCGACCCCGCCGTGACCTCTGTACCACCCGTGTGTCACCAGTGGCTCAACGACCAGCGGCTGGTGCAGCGGCTGGCCGAGCTGATGGCCGACGGAGAGCACCCCGACCGGCAGGCCAACGCCGGACAGGTCATCATGTCGGTGGTGAGCTGCGCGCGCCAGATGGCTCAGCAGCTCGGCCCCGGAGAGAAGGAGCCCAACCCGCTCGTCTCCACCATCGAAACGTGAGTGGAGAATGATCGGGAAGGACGTGTGCCGGGACTCCGTTACGCTATGTCCCCGACAAGATGATGCTTGCCGGGCTAGTTTTCGGCTGGCTGGTCGGTTGGCGCCTGTGTGTTTGAACTTTGCTCTTGGGTACGATTATGGCATGGCCGACGTTTATGTTTGATGAGGTATTTAACAGGAGACTGGCACGTGCTAGGGTGTGGCGTGGAATCATCTGTGCGTGCGATTTATCTTTATGGTTGGACTTGTTATGTCAACAATCGTAGTCTGCCGGTGCTGATATGGTCGGTGGTAACGTCAAGTGGGGACTGGGGATGCGTATGTGATGGAAGTACACTCACTCTCCCCATTACAAACACACAAAACCTGATTTCTTACGAACTGCTTACGAGTTTTATCTTGGGTGTCTGACTATAAAGTTTCAGCCAAATATGAAAGTGGACTTTTTGTGTCTGTGATTGTCGGTGGACCGTATCTGAGTTCTGACTGTTTGTGACTGTATCTATGCTCCCCGGTAGGACGGAGTTTGTGTCGTCGGTGCTGGACGGCGTGCTGTCAGCTCCCTGTGTCTGTATGTGACGGATATCTGCGTGCCTGACTGAATCCTGTGCTCCCCGGTAGGACGGAGTTTGTGTCGTCGGTGCTGGACGGCGTGCTGGGCCCGGCGCGCACAGAGGCCGGCCTGGTGAACGCGTTCCTGGTGCTGCGGCTGCTGCTGGACACGGGCCGGCCCGGCGCGCCCTACGCCCAGAACGAGGCTGACGAGGAGGTGCCGCCGGAGGAGCCGGCCAGCGTGCAGGCGGTGGCGGACGCGCTGCTGCCGCGGCTGGCCGACTGTCACCGGCTGCTGCTGGAGCCGCCGCCGCGGCCCGCCGTGCCCACCACGTGCGGCCGTCTGGAGCCGCCGCTGGGCGCCACCCGGCTGCAGGTGGCGCGCCTGACCACGGCACTGCTGGCCGCCAACCGGCACCCGGTCAACTGCCGGCTGGCGCAGCTCGGCACCATCGACCTGCTCCTGGTGAGAGAGACACTGCTGGTCATACTGCTGGTGAGGGGACCCGCTGGTCAGAGCCTGGGAGGTGCTGCTGGTGGGATGACCTGCGGGGGGAGGGGATACCTGCCGCTGGTGGGTGCGGGACCAGTAAGAGCCTGCGCTAGGTGGGTCCGGTTCCCGTCCTTGGGCTCGCTGTGGTCGGTTTTATTTGCTGGAGTACATAAGTCGTATGGGTACTTCGACACTGTTATAGACTATAGTCACATGCGCCGTCCGCTCCGGCCGGCGTGGCGTGGCGGATATAGCCCTGATAGCTGCTGCTGAGGGACTTTCCCGCCGAGGACATTCGACAGTCATACGGACTGTCGTTAGCTAAAGTGATTCATCACCAGATACTGCCTCTTATGCATCAGCTCTTACCCATCATATCACAGCGCATATCTAGTCGTTTAGCCGGGGTCCAGCCCAAGCGGGAACGGTGCGCCCACGATCAGACCCATGTATGTAGTTGTTACCGGAGACGAGTCACGAGTGCGTTAGAATTCATTGCGTTCGTATTTGGATTGGTCGCACAGCCCCTAAGCCCGTTACGCTCATGTGTATAAAGCCCGGTTCTGACTGCCGTTTTTCGATCGTTTGGTGGATCGTATGGTGATCGTATCGTGATCGTATGGTGATGGGATGGGGATCGGCACGCCCGTTTCCCGATCGCCGCGATGGTAATCGTATGTGTGCAGTGAGAACCGGGAAAAAACGTGACTGTGCGCGTCGTTCGGTAGCGGCAGATCGTACGTCGTAGTGCGTTCCGTCGAAAGATGGATTGAGTTTATCTTTTGTCTTGATCGTATCGTACAGTTGACATCGTGTGGGGAACTCGCTGTGCTGCTGCTTTTCTTGCTGCTGTCTTGTGGAATGTTTGTGCGTTTATGCTAACATATTTGATATAACTTATCTTATTAGTAACATACTTTAAATAAATAAGCTTGATTGACATACTTATAATCAAAGTAGGTACTTCCACTTAGAAGATACCATACGAAAAATCATTGTTTCGTTCAGGTGCTTCAATTACATCAAAGTATTAATTTTATTGCACGAAAAAGCCTCACCCGATAATGTTAATTTGATACTTAAATTAAAGAAATGTTTCAACTACATTTAACCCCTTTTTAAGTCCGAAAAGTATTAATTTCCCTCTTTATAGATCTCGTCCCGTTCATGGCGGCCAATCAACGCGCTTCCCTCAGATGACGTCATCTGTGCGCCTGCGCTCCGCCGAGCCGACAAGCCTCGTGGTGACCGGCGATTACCGGCGACACCGGAGGTGGTACATAGTTATCTTACCAATGAATTTCTATCAATTTCAACGAACCGATTTTCAAGAAAACCGATGCACAGCATTCACAATACTCACTTTTATGTTGTAGGTTACTTTCCAGGACAATTTGACATGATTTTCTATTTTTCCACGCATTTTCAAAATTGCGTACCTTCCACGGCCGAGAATGGTTTCCGCCGCCATGCTGCTCCAATCAAGCCGAAATGTTGATTAACTTCACGGAACAGTCAGAGCCGACTACTCAAACAAAATTATTGAATTAGAGAGATGTTTTAAACTACATTTAACGTCTCTTCAAGCGTAAAAAGTATTTATTTCGTTCTTATCTATCACCGCCGGCAGTAATGGCGGACGCAGACTCCCACACGATACGCACGATCTGCACGATACGATCACGATACGATCTACCAGTTACCAGATCGTATCGGGCCTAGAGATTTTTATCTTTTTTCCGCCAGCCACGCTCACCATAACGATCACCATACGCTTACCATCCGCTCCGATCGATTTCGGCAGTCAGAACCGGGCTAAAGATTCCCGTGGTGCGTCCGACTGACGATCCGGTCGGGTCCGGTATGATCCGGTACAATCGGACAGTGACATGGTGGCAGGACGTCCGTGTTCCGTCCCTCTCGTGGATGTGTTTAGACATGTGATTTATCGTAACTTCGCGGGCCGCACGTGCTTCAGTACGAGTGTACTGAAATTTGGACAAGTGACAGCTACCACTGCTGCCTACTATGTATTACGAATGTCTGTTGTATTTGCGTTGTTGAATGTTCACCTTATTTCATGTCTTTGTACACACGCGCTTACCCTTCTCGGATCGGTTGCAGGACCTGTTCTTCCAGTACACTCTAAACAACTTCCTTCACTCGCAAGTAGAGCAAAGTATCGCGCTCATCCTAGAGGCTGAGCCACAGGAAAGTGAAGAAGGCAAGAGTTGCCACCCACTTCTAGTACATGTAAGTAGGCATTGAGGCAGTGAATATTTTGCACGAGTACCGAATGTGATTTGACGATGAAACTACTGAGTTTAGCGAGCCCTATGCATTCAGTTAATCCCGAAATGAAACTTTTGTGCGGTTTCGTTTTTATTTTCACACATCCTGTCTTTGACATCACGACTTCCTCGAGTACCTACTTAGGGCGACGGTGCTGTGTATGGATGCGGACATCCCTGATGATTGTTCCGTTGTGTTGCAGATTTTCACAAAGACAAAGCTAGTGCAGAGGATACTTCAGGGAATGGAGGAGCCTCAGACAAACGGCGAATCGTCCGAACAAAAACGGTATGTAAAATAGCGCTCTTGTTCACATTCGTTTCTTTCGTAATTGCACTTATTTTTCATGGACAGTCGGAAACACTTTTTAAATATAACCGCATTACGGAACAATATAAAGTTCTCCTGAATTGAAATGTATTTCATAGCCAATCTACATCTATTTCAATGTTATTCTGCTGATTTCATACCTATTGGCAAGTTACAAGATAGGAGGATGCGGACTATCAGTTACGATGCTTATAAGTAACTGGAAGCTGCTATGTGTGTGAGAGAGAGAGAGAGAGAGAGAGAGAGAGAGAGAGAGAGAGAGAGAGAGAGAGAGAGAAGAGAGAGAGAGAGAGAGAGAGAGAGAGAGAGAGAGAGAGAGGAGAGAGAGAGAGAGAGAGAGAGGAGGAGAGAGAGAAGAGAGAGAGAGAGGAGGAGAGAGAGATAGATAGAGAGAGAGAGAGAGAGAGAGAGAGGATAGAGAGA